AATAATCAGTTTGAGGAAACATTGTTTCTATACCATATCGTAAACGTCAAAGTAAGTATTAACCAAATTCCGACAAGCCACTGCCTGCTTCTTGGATACTGATCTGCTCAAATAATGTACCATCCACAAATATTTCAATGAAATACACATCAGGCCACACTGGAAGTTAAGCTTCGAAGGTATAAAAACATCTTATGATATAATGCTTGAATCAAGAGTGGAAATTCATTGGTGTGATCAGTGGACAGGTAAACCAGGACTTGTAAAACTTGCATTTACAGCTTCTCTGCCAAGCACATGTTATTTATGAATAACATAAAGACAGGTCAGTTGGCAGTGATAATAAGTCAAATGGGTTGACAATAATCCTTGAATATTATTGTCATAAATAAGATTAAAAATTTATCCCGTGCATGTTAAACATCTAAATTGAAAAACATCTGAATGATACACCTAGAACTTTGAATTAAGCATGCAGAAATAAAGTTTTTTTTTTAATTACCTTACAATTTTAGAAGTCTTGGTCCAGTACATACAGATTCTTTGTAAGCATCAATCCCATATAAGGGAAATTAAAGTAAGAAAGACAATCAATCCATGGAATGTGGTATCAACTTGGATATAATTACTCCATATGCAGGTACTACTGAAGAGTTACCATTGTGAAAATTGAAGTCATTTTTGTGTGTTCTCAATGGCTGACAATTTCTAAATTTAAGTCAAGATTAGAAGCAGACACTGTAACATACTTTAGAAGAAATCAAGTCATCAATTTTGAATTATTTGGAGAGAGGACATCATCTAAATGCAACTAGTAGAACATGAAGTTAACGGATTATTCTTTATGAGAAACCTCTGTAATACGTCTGTCTCATGAATTATTGCAACAAAAAAGAAAGTATGATTAAGCCACTTTTGGCCCCTTATTTTGAAAACACATATTCATTATATATCTGCTACATTACTTACTTCAGATGTTCATAAGACAATAGACTGTCAATCTTTAGTATTTATGTATTTGAACTTTGTCTTCCATATTAGAATTAGAGCTTCTTTAATTATTAGCATTTGTTTTCCATAAGAATTATTCGATGGTTTTTCAAACTAGAGGGTGTTTCTAAGCCACTATCTCATTGAAGGGCGACAGCCCTGAGATGAGATGTGCCCGAGATATATCCTCGAGTTTGAAAGACCATTGATAATCTATTTATCGCTATTTTGCCTATGACGTCGTTGATGTTGACATTGACAATGACACAAGCTTCCTTAGTTTCTTGCAATAATTTTCTATCTCAAGCAAGTAGCATGATATAAAAATTTTCACAAAAAAAAGATCAAAGGCAAAATACACAAAATAGCAATAATGTTGGCTATCAGTTAAAAATAAAACATTTCCACCAAACAAATAAAATTTGTTGTTAATAAACAATCAAACATCTTCATAATTTAGACATCAGATTTGACCCATACTAAACAAGACTTGCACATCAGTACTGGCCATAAATATGTCAAATACATTTTCACATTTTTATTTTTTATGATAACAATTTTCTCTTCACAATACAAGTGTTGAATAAGTTAAAAAAAAAAGAAATAATAAAGAAATAAATTATACAATAAAAACATCAGTTTTAAAATTGCTGATTTATTTCTGCTTATATTCCAGTTACTTTGTATATATAATACTTTTGTAGACAATACCCACTGTATATTTCCTATGCAAAAAAAGATAACGGTCAGAGGAAATATGGCTAATGTTATATTAGATAATTTGAATATATTTCAATACCCTGTAAAAAAAAAGTTTTAGGAGAAAAATTATAATGACAAATTATCTTTGAAGCACTGTTAATTTTTGTTTATTAAACTGCAGTTTAAGTGTTTTTACATATAAATAATGCCAGTTTATAGGAATATTGAACTATTATGCAATCCTAAAAATCTTCAACCAATACTTTGTAAACATAGCAAAATAATTCATATCATAGTTTGATTGTCAGAACAAAAAGTTACTCATCACAGAAAGGTATAGAAATTTCAAAATCTACAAATTTTCAAAAAATTGTACAGAAATTATTGTAATGTAAACATAATGTTAAATAACAAAACATTCTACTTAAGATCCAAAACAACTAAACCGATCCTTATTGTTTTACTGAATTATTGCCCCAAAAAGAGGGAGAAATTTAGAGGCTCCCTGGTGTCTGTATCGCTCACCTGATTTATATGTAACCGACCATTATTCCAGATATGCAAGATATGATTAAGAAAGTTATTTGAGAAACACAGTGAAATCGATGTCACTTTTTTATTATTTCAGTAGCAAAAAATCATTTCTATACCTTCTATAAAGTTTGAAAAAGAAAACTTATTATATTGAAATTTTCAAAGTCCAAAGGTTAACATTAAGTCATAGCAAACTCACATATAATATTAACTATTGATTGCACAATTATATACCAAAATATAAAAACAATATCCCAACCTTAATATGCACAAAGAAAGCCATTAATTTGCCTGTTTTATCCCTGTGTTCTATTTTTCTAACAACAGCCATAAATCTGAAAAAACACACTCTCTTGGAATGGTGTGGCCAAGTTTTGTTTCAATTTACCCAAGCAATCGCAGAGAAGCTTTGCACACTGATGACGACAATATAATGACTAACAAACAACAGATGCCTAGTCATGGCAGAAGCTCACACTAACCCAAAGGGCCCAGTGAGTTAAATACCGTTCATAACAAGTTAGATATGTAACTTTTAAATACTTTAACATAACATAAGAATAAAGTATTGATATAAGCTTAGAAGCAAGGTTTTCATAGCATTTTTAATGTATTAATTCATTATTAATGTATACAGATAGATACATTTACAAGTTAAGTTATTTATATCATATCACTATATCTGCAGCATATATAACACAAAAATAAACAAACAAAAAACACAGCTCTGACTAGAAATCATGATTTTGGAATATTTCTCTTTGAAATGAAAGACAATATCTGATTGAAAAAATGAATAGACAAATTTCATTAGTGATTAATTTCTGTCATATATTTTATAAAGATAAAAACCAGTTATCTATTAGTTATAAAACAATTCAATCAATTCGCATGAAATATTAAAACTGCAATAACTCATCTATTACCAAAATTATGCCTAAAAGAAAAAAAATCTTTGGCAAACATTTCCAACAATGAAGGGTTCTGTAGTTAAGTATTTAGTAACAAAAGCCTTGAACTATGAAAGAAAAAAAAAGGAAAAACACAATCTAACCAAAACTAAATCTCTGCACTTGCTCACTCTTGTTACTAGTTCATAAACTCTAATGGGATTTAATTTGATCTCCCACACAGCGACCTTGCAAAAACAGTGAGCAAGTGTACAGACCTTATAAAATAGATTGAATAAAACATGATTATATATTTTAACAAAGAAATAACACCATAACAATATACATGTATATATACAATTACAATTCATGTAGATTTCATGGTGCTTGAAAGGATTATTATTACAATTTAACTGAGATTGGAATACTCTTATAAATGCTCATAAGATAGAAATGCTTAACTGAACATGATTTATCGGTGGATTGAAATTGCTTTATTGAAAACAATTTATCACAGTTTTCTCTCTCATCTTATTTTATACGCCCTGTTATCATCAGGTCAAATGATAAAATATTGTTTCTTGACTGTGTCCAAACAAGATCTAACAGAAAGGCTGAGATGTTTGTGTTGGTCCTCTATCTTGATGTTTGAAAGTAATGGCTACATTGATACAAGTAAAATGCATGTCCATTCACTACCCAAAATTGATACTGTAAATGTGGAGAACACACAATATTATTTTGCAATCATGTTATTGTGAAGGAAATAAAACCTTTCCACAGAATCAGTTGCTGTTTAACTGGCCAATTATATTTTAGCAAAATGAACTGTCCCATTGAATAAATACAATCGCTATTGTTCTCTGTGGAGATTGTTCAATGGGAACTTAAATTTCTCCTTGACAAATCAATCATTCATTGATTAATTTGGATGTACAAAAAAACCTCCTAGTGATGAAAATACATGTAAAATAAATGCACAAATAGCTTGTAGAAAACAACATTATTGATGTGAAGTGCAAACTTACAGCTGTTGTGTGAATTCACCATCCACACCAAAAAATTTTCAAATTGAAATCTTGTTAATATCAACCTGCGAAAAAAATCACATTTTACAGCAATACATAAATCTGCATTTTGCCTTTAAAAGTGACATAATAAAAAAATGTTAAGACTATTAATTTTCTATTACAGGATTTCCAATCTCAGATATAACTGCCTTACATTATGTACTGATATTCAGTCTAAAACAGCAAAGATAAATATACTTTAATAAACTAAAAAATATGTGTAACAAAAATTATAAAAAAAATAACTATGCACCACAATTAAAACAATAAATCATCCTTGCAAAATTAAATACTGCCAAATAAGTGTCTATGAGGATGAAAAGATTGTATGTGTGAATGATTATGAAACTATGAAGAATAATTAACTAATGTGAAACAAATTGCTAGAAAAAGCAAATGTTACCAATTATTAAAAGAATGATCAGGATATTCAAATTCATACAAATTTCAAGGGTTTTAATTTAGAATGAAACAGGCCAATTGAAAACAGAGAATGGAAAAGTCATTACTGGTTCTAAAGGAAACAATTTCTTAACTGTAACAAAGAATTGTAAACAATATGAGTTTGAGAAAATTTTGACTATTTCATAGGGGCATAACTGTGGAACAATACATGGACTTAGTTAAACTTACTTAACCTGTATTTCAATGAGTCAACTGATTTAAATGTTTAATTCAAAATGAAGATGGGAGATAATACTGTCATTAAAAAGATGAGAAAAATTTAAGATTGAAAGAAAGTGATTGAATGAAGATGATATTGATCTTAGGAATATAATTCATTTTACAATTATCTGATTATGTATGCTAAAAGTTATAGCCTTAAATCATTTATAGCATCAGTTATTATGCTTGATCCGAATAATTTCTAATAAATTTATCTTTATCAATTATCTGAATATGAAGTTGGAATTCTAACTATTTGCATTAAATAAAAGTTTCAAAAAGAGTAAGCAAAATCAATAATATTAAAAATAATTAACAATAAAGATAAAAATGCCATTGTATAATTTTTTGATGTACTCCTATTTTCTCTTTAATAGTAACATATCCACCATGCTGAATTTACTGAACTTTACATAGTTCTTACAGAGCTAGCTCTGTGGAGTGATACAACAGCATATTATACAATACTGGAGTTCTGTAGAGTGATGTGACTGTAGATCACAATCCTTCTGGTTTTTCTTTAGAACTGTCATAATATCTGATCAATTCAGCCTGAAATTAGAATAAAATATTTGAAGAGATATATGAAGACAATGCCCTGCAATGGATGATATCAAGAGGCATTTTTTCAACTAGATGCTCTTATTGCTGAAACCTGAGACTACTATAACACATAGTTATAGTAGTCTCAGCTGAAACCAAAAACTGTAATAGTTTGATTTTTTTTAAAATTTAATCTTACAAAAAAATACCATTGAGATTCCATTCCAAGAAGAATATTTACTAAATATTGCACCACCTTGAGGTTTCTATGAAAAAAATATACACACTGCACTAAATGAATATTCAAATGATTTGATTTCAAATTATCCCTTATTTACAGAAATAAAATAGGTTATAGTCATGGAACAAAAACATTGGTAACTTTGTTTTCCTTATATAGTCTACATAAAACTATAATTTTATTGTACACTTCTGGTCAGAATATTTGATAAAAATTTTAACAGAAATTGTTGAATCGTTAAAATTTCTCTCTATCAATTTGATTTTTTCTTTACAAAATACACTTTGGTATAGAATATTTAGTTTGAAAAATCATTTACCAATACTCCTGCTTCACGGCTTTTATCTCGCTCATATTTCAGAGTCTACACTCTTTTTGAAACCTGACTTCCATTTATTTTGTAATTTATATTCTAGTGAATGCAGACTCAGATTTAGTGAAGCATAAACAATTTGTAGATTTTATATACACAATATTTTACCAGAACTACTAAAAGAATATCATATTTTATATCATATAATATTGGTTTGTATGTAAGTCAACTGACCTGTCCCATTACTCCATGTTCTTCTTGTGAAAAAGCATAACCATCTGAAAGAAAGAAAAAAAATACATGATTTCCTTGATATCATTTAACATATGTATCAGTAACCCCATTAGACACCTGTATTATTATCATTATCACAAGTTAAGTAATATGTCAGCTATTATATATTTGCCCTGAAAAGCCATTTATGAGTAAAAAACGAATATGTCTACATATGGATTGAAACAGAAAAACTTAAGTTTAATGATTGAATTATTTTACTACTGCCTTAAACTTGTATTTCTTACACTGAATTTAATAGAGATACACTCTTATACCCAATATAACCATTACTGAAGGTACAGGGCCAAACCATCTCCATGGAAATGAGATGTGCCAATGCTAATACAACTGCATACCAAATATCATTGACCTACCACTAGTGGTTCCCAATAAACTGACCTAATCACAAACTAATACATGTAAACTAAGCAAAAGTTTCAAAGTCAATAGACCATGACTGAGGGGCAGGATCAAATAATCTTCATGGAAATGAGATGTGTCAATGCTAATACATCTGCATACCAAATATCATTAACCTACCACTAGTGGTTCCCCAGAAACAGACCTAATCACAAGCTAATACATGTAAACTAAGCAAGAGTTTCATAGTCAAAAAGACCATGATGGAGGGGGCGGGGCCAAACAATCTCCATGGAAATGAGATGTACCAGTGCTAATACAACTGCATACCAAATATCTTTGACCTACCACTAGTGGTTCTCTATAAACTGACCTAATCACAAACTAATGCATTGTTGACGGGGCTGCTGCCACCGCCACCGACAAAATCAGCATACCTCTGTCTCACTTTTTAACTCCATCAAGGCGAGACAAAAAGGATGTATGTAGCGTTTAACCAGAAACACAATCATTTAAAAACTTATGAAATGTATAGAATGTATGTAAAAAAAGCTGAAAAAATTTACATTTGGCTGCATTTACTCTATAATACCAACTTCATAGAAACACAGATGAAGTAAAAAATACTCAATCTAGTCATTTCACCTGAGGAATAATTATTTCAGTCCCTTATAATTTTTTAAGCAGCTATTGATAAAATTAATTTGAACCAGTTGCCAAAAAAACTGGTTAACATATAAATAGCATATGCTGTAATAAATATACGATTAAAGTTAGTAATGATAAATTTTCCAGTTGACATGCATGAAGAAGTATCCATGCATCAACAGTCTTGGGTCATAAAATCTGATAGCTGTACCATAGTTTTTAAGAATGAGTATACATATAATAGCACTGAAATTTACTTATAAAGTATGTCAAGAGTATTCTGGAACAATTCATCCATAAAAGAAAAGAGCATTCTAAGTTCCTTCAAAGAGGCTCATTTCATGCAACAAGATGTGAAACTGCAACGCTTTGAATGAAAACTTATTTTTCATGTGCACAAGCACTAAATACTTTTTTTGAAGTCAAAATAAGGCAGAAACTTCATTCATTATATGTGTTTTGTGTTAATTAATAATATTGTAATTATTCTCCAGCTAACATAACAGGTGAATGTTTATATCATATACTCTTGAACCATATAACCCCCTCCAATGGACTCAAGTTAGCGTTCTCACCTAAAGTGTGGGAGCTCATGGGTTCCATCCTCGGCCTTGTCAAACCAAACTATTGAAAAAAGTTATTTGCTAAGCTCGCAGCATTTAGGAGAGAGCAAATACCTGTTGTCTTGGAGTCAAAATAATGTATGAGGATAGGGCAACATGTCTTCCTGTGGACTGTTACCTTGTGAAGTAGCACATTAAAAATCCCACTCAAGGTGTCAGTCTGGGTTCATATCAATATAACATTAACATGTTCTTGTCCTGATATGCATGTAATATTTGCCACTGGACATTAAACACCAATTCATCATCATCATCTTCAGCTATATATGCTCAACAAATATATTTAGATCAGCCAAATGGACTGAATGCATGAGTTCTTTATGTGTAAGTCTATGCAGCTCAATAAGCACCTACTGTGAATGGTGACCTTCTAGCATTTGTTTGAAAGGACACTTACCCAATTAATCTATTAGTGTGCAAGGTTTAATTAAAATCCTATAACACATGTTTACTTAAATTTTTTTTTGTACTTTGAATTTCAAATGTTTTTTATGTAAAAAATTTTATTTGTTCAGTCGAAACAAAAACACAAATGATAAATGACATTCTGTTTTTATAACAAATTTAAACAAAGTTAAATTATAAAAAGGTTTGACATTGTACAGCTTTGAAAAAAAGTGTTTTCCTCTCTGCTTTGTTAAATACACAATTTTCCTACATCTTTGATTTTATCAGTAAAGAGTAGCTATTGAGCATGAAGAATTTCTGTAACATTAAGTTAATGCATAAAGGAATATATCTTGGTTGGTATCCTGAAAAAACTAAGGTTATATCATAGTCAACACTTCATTTTTGGCAGAAATTTTAAGATTGGTTAAGAATTTCAAATATAGAAATACATGCATACACTTTCATCTTACCACGAATCAACTGGACTGTAACATCTCCTGAGTAAAACATCAATACTTAAGGCGGAGGAAATATGTTAGTAATTTTTTTCTACGTATCAACGTTACATTTACCAGGAGTTACTTTTTCATTTTATAGAGGCATCTTTCAATCTTATAATTTGTAAAAAAAATTAAGGTTTTTGTTTTCTGTAAATGTGATTTAAAGGAGAAATGGGGTATATGTCAATGAGACAAGAACCCAATGACATAATGACACAATATCAGTGGGAGACTCTTGTGATCATACTATGGATGAAATTTTATCCAGTTTATCTTCATTTAAGCCCTTCAAACAATAAGATCTTTGAACAATCAGGCTTTCGGAATACTATACAGAGATGCAAAAAACATCAACCAATATCTAATTACACATACACTGACAGTTCCCTTTCAATAATCTTTTTTTTTCAATGAGTATTTGTCTATCTCATATACCTAGGTAAACATGAAATCAAGGATACCGCAGCAAAAAGTAGGTCTCCTTCATATATCTAAATCTAATTGATGAAATTGAAACTGATGGATGATTTAAATCTATTTGTTTCTAAACCTGCTAGAGACATTTTAAGTCTGCCAGGACTCTCATATATTACTAATTGTCAATATGACTTTACAACAAATTTCTATGTCATGTACTTGCCATTGACATTTACCACTAAATACAGGTATGCCATAAGAATCATATGCAGGTGAATAATGCCTTTCAGGAGATGCTTTCCCTATCGATAAGTTAATGTGATTCTGACTTATTAAAATCCCCCATGTTTGTCTATTTATATCTGAACTTATGAAAGTTTCACTGCCAGTAGGTATACTACTTTCATATTTCCTACAAGAAATTTCACAACATTATAGATTCTAATACCAGTAACAATTTATTAAACATAAACATAGAATTGTATATGTCTATTAGATAAATAACCCCTGTTGTAATTATTACAATGAAAAGCCAATAAACGAAAAGACTTTTTACAAGGATTCAAAACCTTGACCTAAAAGAACAGCTGAAAGTTCAAAAAGGGAAGGAGATATCAAGGGGCCAAACAATCACCAATAAGACTAACCACAATATGGCCAAACAATCACCAATAAGACTAACCACAATATGGCCAAACAATCATCAATAAGACTAACCACAATATGGCCAAACAATCACCAATAAGACTAACCACAATATGGCCAAACAATCACCAATAAGACTAACCACAATATGGCCAAACAATCACCAATAAGACTAACCACAATATGGCCAAACAATCACCAATAAGACTAACCACAATATGGCCAAACAATCACCAATAAGACTAACAACAATATGGCCAAACAATCACCAATAAGACTAACAACAATATGGCCAAACAATCACCAATAAGACTAACCACAATATGGCCAAACAATCACCAATAAGACTAACCACAATATGGCCAAACCAAACACAAATATTGTGTTCATAGGACACCATGCTCTGCTGGAACTTTCACATTTCAATTTCAGTCAAAATGCTAAATTGGCATATATTTTTTTAAATTCTAGTAGATGACACAAATTCAAAGTAAACTACCTTAAACCAAAAACACCAAAAAATTTAACCTGATAGGAGACATAATATAGGGGAACAGGTTGACTAACAGACAGACAAACTAACAGACTGGAAAGCATTGTTTTCAAGGCATTAAAAGACAAATAAACAAGCAACAGTCCAAAAACACTACACAAAAATTCAAAGATTGAACAATACTAATCCAACCATGGGTAAATGGTAAATGCATACTGGAAATCATTTAATTTTACACTGGGTAAACAGTTGTTTCATCATACATCTATCTCTAATTTTAAAGAAGGGAAGGTACCTGTATAAGGTAAGGTTTCTTACAAAGATAATTTTGACTTGATGCAGTCAAATCATCCCCCACCCTGCATCTTAAAAAAAGCACCAACAAAATAAAAACTAAAACATACAACAAAAAAACTAGGGCTTCTTTGGATCATATATTATCATTTAAAAACCTCCTACAGTCAATACATATCAAATGCATTGAAAGAAAGCACATATTTGTTTTGCTATGATTATAGTGCATAAAATGACAAGCTTACTATATGTATTATCAAATCTGGTTACTAACTTACTAGAGTTTATATCTATGCTTGCTGAAAGCAACGTGTATGTTTGTTTGATTGATTGGGATTTTGTAATGAAAATTGATATGGAAGGAATTGCTAGTGCTGGTAGATTGTTGCATGTTCATCTGTATAACATTTTGCAGTCTTTAAATCAATAAAATTGTAATATGTGGGTTCTTCTGTATATATGTCAATGTTGCAACAGTTTCTTATCTAATTCTTTTGACCTTGAAACCATCTTTTAATTGTAAATTGTACTGTGCTATATCTAAATAATAAACCCCATAAAACATGCAAATTCTAACATGCAATTAAGTATTTCAATGTTAAAATATAGGACCATGTTGCAGGCAGGGCTTGTTACTATGACAACTTACGTGATGGTGTAGGTGAGGGTGCTGTATGAAAATTATCAAAATAAAAATAATGCACATAAAAACTAAATATAAAAACATTTTTTTGGCATACATCACAAACTTAAATCACTCACACAAACTTTAATATGATAAAACATGCATAAAAAATTAAAATAAATGTCTTCAAATAATTTTATTTGAAAATTCTGTAATCAAAACTAGTACTATCCTACAGCAATAATAAAATGAAACTAGATAAATGTTTGTATCATTATTTAATATTATGATCAATTCCCCTTATCAACACTTGACCATCCTTTATAATAAAGATTAAAAACAAGAATGTGTCCATAGTACACAGATGCCCTACTCGCACTATCATTTTCTATGTTCAGTGGACTGTGAAATTGGGGTCAAAATTCTAATTTGGCATTAAAATTAGAAAGATCATATCATAGGACACATGTGTACTAAGTTTCAAGTTGATTGGACTTCAACTTCATCAAAAACTACCTTGATCAAAAACTTTAACCTGAAGTGGGACAGACAGACGAACGAACAGACGAACGAACGAACGAACGAACGAACGAACAAACGTAGGTGGCAATAAAAATCTATTTTGGATTGTTAAAAAATTGTTCAAACTTTCAGTAGTATCTTGATAGAAATAAACTTGTAAAAAAACTAAAATTTAAAAATAAAATTAAAATTAAAGAATAACAGTTAAATAGAGATCACAGAAAAATTCCTACTCATCACAAGTTTATCATCATTTTCCACTTTGTTAAAAGTTTTCTGTAATGGGTAAAACACAACAAAATCAAACAAAGGACAACAAAATAAAACTGACCTCAAACGGAACTTAATTCGTGTGTCGGTGAGACTTTATTGCCTGTCAACACAGGAAATGCTACTTAAACAGAGGACAAAAAACTTATTTTCTATCTAACTTTGTTATGTGATACAACCCAACCCATCTGTGTTCAATTCTTTACAAATTGCAATATATAAACACACAAAAAATATATTTAATGAGATATTTCCCGAAGTGAAGTATAAAGTGAAACATGTAACTACTGTGTGTTCCATGTTGCCTCAAAAGCATTTTTTTCATATTAATTCCAGTAGTAGCAGAGAACAGAAGTAAATATTTGTACTATGCCTTTTCCTCTTTCCAAGTCATAAATATCATCCACTTAAAAAGCACTAATTTCGTCCTCAACATTTGAATACTGTTGCTTTCGAAGAGAAAAAAAGCTAATGATGTAAGCATCATACAAGTGCTAACTTCTTTTGAATTATAACAATTCTCTTAAATGCAGCTGCATACCTAATGTTATTTTTAGCCCAAACTGATTTTTTGAGTTACTTGGGACACACAGTAGATAATATCAAACCATTACATAGTGCCTTATGAGTGGACTGTAGTATGTTAAGCCTACTTACACCTCCTAGTTATCCCCTTAATGGAGTATCTTACAACTGGATCGGCTATGTGTGAAATTAATAGAGAATGTAGATAATATCAAACCATTACATAGTGCCTTATGAGTGGACTGTAGTATGTTAAGCCTACTTACACCTCCTAGTTATCCCCTTAATGGAGTATCTTACAACTTGATCGGCTATGTGTGAAATTAATAGAGAATGTAGATAATATCAAACCATTACATAGTGCCTTATGAGTGGACTGTAGTATGTTAAGCCTACTTACACCTCCTAGTTATCCCCCTAATGGAGTATCTTACAACTTGATCGGCTATGTGTGAAATTAATAGAGAATGTAGATAATATCAAACCATTACATAGTGCCTTTTGAGTGGACTGTAGCATGTTAAGCCTACTTACACCTCCTAGTTATCCCCCTAATGGAGTATCTTACAACTGGATCGGCTATGTGTAAAATTGATAGAGAATGATAATCATGTCTTTAAACATTCATGAAAACTGGCAAGAGTAAATCCTGTGTGCAAAGATATTTGTTGGCAGTTCATATTGAAATATGTTAGGTTTTTTTTTGCAACTAAAAATTTCTTAAAATAGTACTTCATGTTCTGATCAGCTAACAAAAGCAAAAGAGAAAGAAGACACAAATTTATCATATTAGTATAATACATGTTAGGTATGCAATAATTACACAAACTAATTATTTCAGGTTAAAAAAGAAAGCTTTAATAACCAAGGTAACTTACGAGGCTGGTCAGGTCCTGTTGTCATCCTGCTTGGTGACCGAGTGAATACATTGCGTAGCAATCTTGCTGTTTCTGTTAATCTGTAAAAATATATTTAATAAATTTTTGACCTGCATAAATTTTTCAAAATATGGACAAATAAGACCATATATTTACCTGTAAACAATTTCAAAGTAGTTTCTAAGTGTAATGATAATGTATTGATAAAGATTTCTCACATTTGTATTTCTCTATCAATAATTCCTATTTATTATACTAAAAAGAGATGTCTTCCTTTTAGAATGTCCTGGTGATTTGATAGAGCATCTTACTACATTCATACAATAGCAGTTTGTAACTGATCAACTCTATCATATTATCTTTTTTCAAGAGCAGTGGCAAACTTCAAACCCCTTCCATAATCAGGGAAATAATTGAAGAGAACTGTATCAACATCTGTCTACACTACTCAGCTTGCAAGACCTCTCTTTTGAATAGTATCTTGTGTATACAGATGTATTTGTATTACTGGAAGTTACATGTAAATAATTGATGCTTTTATATATCTTGATAACATTATACCACTAATTCATTTTTGTAATGACAATAGTGAAAATATCTGAAGTACCTTTTCTCAGTAAAAAAAAAAAAATTGTCATGAACTTCCAATGGAGTCAATTCTGTACTACGAAAATAAATATACAAAGAGTTCAAAGCAATCAGGCCAAATTTTAAAAAGGACCATACATGATCTTAAATTTGTAAAAACATGATTAAGGTATATGGTGTCAAAATTTTTTTATAAATAAATATGACTAAGATACCATGGTAATATTTTCTTAATTAAGTTTTGTATTACAGTGGGATCTACCTACCTTCTCTTAGTCATTTTAAGTACTGTAGGAGTGGGATCTTTGTATATTACAGTGGGATCTACCTACCTTCTCTTAGTCAGTTTAAGTACTATAGGAGTGGGCTCTTTGTGTATTAAAGTGGGATCTACCAACCTTCTCTTAGTCAGTTTTAGTACTATAGGAGTGGGATCTTTGTGTATTACAGTGGGATCTACCTACCTTCTCTTAGTCAGTTTAAGTACTTAAGAAGTGGGATCCTTGTATATTACAGTGGGATCTACCTACCTTCTCTTAGTCAGTTTACATATTACAGTGGGATCTACCTACCTTCTCTTAGTCAGTTTACATATTTCAGTGGGATCTTCCTACCTTCTCTTAGTCAGTTTAAGTACTATAGGAGTGGGATCTTTGTATATTGCAATGGGATCCATCTACCTTCTCTTAGTCAGTTTAAGTACTATAGAAGTGGGATTTTTGTATATTACAGTGGGATCCACCTACCTTCTCTTAGTCAGTTTAAGTACTATAGGAGTGGGATCTTTGTTTATTACAGTGGGATCCACCTACCCTCTCTTAGTCAGTTTAAGTACTATAGGAGTGGGATCTTCCTACCTTTTCTTTGTCAATTTAAGTACTATAGGAGTTGGATCTACCTACCTTCTCTTAGTCAGTTTAAGTACTATAGGAGTGGGATCTTCCTACCTTCTCTTAGTCAGTTTAAGTACTATAGGAGTGGGATCTTCCTACCTTCTCTTAGTCAGCTTAAGTACTATAGGAGTGGGATCTTTGTATATTACAGTGGGGTCTACCTACCTTCTCTTAGTCAGTTTAAGTACTATACGAGTGGGATCTTTGTATATTACAGTAGGATCTACCTACCTTCTCTTAGTCAGTTTAAGTACTATAGGAGTGGGATCTTCCTACCTTCTCTTAGTCAGTTTAAGTACTATAGGAGTGGGATCTTCCTACCTTCTCTTAGTCAGTTTAAGTACTATAGGAGTGGGATCTTCCTACCCTCTCTTAGTCAGCTTAAGTACTATAGGAGTGGGATCTTTGTATATTACAGTGGGGTCTACCTACCTTCTCTTAGTCAGTTTAAGTACTATAGGAGTGGGATCTTTGTTTATTAAAGTGGGATCTACCAACCTTCTCTTAGTCAGTTTTAGTACTATAGGAGTGGGATCTTTGTGTATTACAGTGGGATCTACCTACCTTCTCTTAGTCAGTTTAAGTACTTAAGAAGTGGGATCCTTGTATATTACAGTGGGATCTACCTACCTTCTCTTAGTCAGTTTACATATTACAGTGGTATCTACCTACCTTCTCTTAGTCAGTTTACATATTTCAGTGGGATCTTCCTACCTTCTCTTAGTCAGTTTAAGTACTATAGGAGTGGGATCTTTGTATATTGCAATGGGATCCATCTACCTTCTCTTAGTCAGTTTAAGTACTATAGAAGTGGGATTTTTGTATATTACAGTGGGATCCACCTACCCTCTCTTAGTCAGTTTAAGTACTATAGGAGTGGGATCTTCCTACCTTTTCTTTGTCAATTTAAGTACTATAGGAGTTGGATCTACCTACCTTCTCTTAGTCAGTTTAAGTACTATAGGAGTGGGATCTTCCTACCTTCTCTTAGTCAGTTTAAGTACTATAGGAGTGGGATCTTCCTACCTTCTCTTAGTCAGCTTAAGTACTATAGGAGTGGGATCTTTGTATATTACAGTGGGGTCTACCTACCTTCTCTTAGTCAGTTTAAGTACTATACGAGTGGGATCTTTGTATATTACAGTAGGATCTACCTACCTTCTCTTAGTCAGTTTAAGTACTATAGGAGTGGGATCTTCCTACCTTCTCTTAGTCAGTTTAAGTACTATAGGAGTGGGATCTTCCTACCTTCTCTTAGTCAGTTTAAGTACTATAGGAGTGGGATCTTCCTACCCTCTCTTAGTCAGCTTAAGTACTATAGGAGTGGGATCTTTGTATATTACAGTGGGGTCTACCTACCTTCTCTTAGTCAGTTTAAGTACTATAGGAGTGGGATCTTTGTTTATTACAGTGGGATCCACCTACCCTCTCTTAGTCAGTTTAAGTACTATAGGAGTGGGATCTTCCTACCTTCTCTTAGTCAGTTTAAGTACTATAGGAGTGGGATCTTCCTACCTTTTCTTTGTCAATTTAAGTACTATAGGAGTTGGATCTACCTACCTTCTCTTAGTCAGTTTAAGTACTATAGGAGTGGGATCTTCCTACCTTCTTTTAGTCAGTTTAAGTACTATAGGAGTGGGATCTTCCTACCTTTTCTTTGTCAGTTTAAGTACTATAGGAGTTGGATCTACCTACCTTCTCTTAGTCAGTTTAAGTACTATAGGAGTGGGATCTTTGTATATTACAGTGGGATCTACCTACCTTCTCTTAGTCAGTTTTAGTACTATAGGAGTGGGATCTACCTACCTTCTCTTAGTCAGTTTAAGTACTATAGGAGTGGGATCTTTCCTACCTTCTCTTAGTCAGTTTAAGTACTATAGGAGTGGGATCTTCATGTAACTTTTCTTTCTCCTGAACCTCCTCCTTTAATGTCTTGTGTGTAGTTCTTTTTAATCTGTAAAGTTACGTCATCTTTGTAAATAAATATAATTCAGAGTAACTGGAAAAAATGCTGATTCATTTACACTTCGGGTTTTGCAAATTTGAATCAAAACTTAAAAAATTGTGGCAAAATATCAATCTATTGCAATAAAATAACATTTCTTTAAATATCTTTATTGATAATTGATATGTACTTTAGGAAGTCAATAGAACTTCAAGAAGAAAAAAAATATTGTCAGCTAAAACATGTATGTCCTTACACCATAGCACCAACTAAACTAAAAACATTTATACCGAATATATAGCAAGAGAAGAATTTCTATATATCATACCAGGAACTATCAAAGTACTCATCATGCTCAAAGAAAGTCAATATAATTACAGAGAATTCTTCTTCTTAATAAAGCTGACAAGATTTTTTTTTCAAATAAAGTAAACAAAAAAAGTACTCACGCTTTCCAAGCAATATCTCTGATTAAACATGTAAATGGTATAAGGAAAAGTCCCATCCAAAATATGGAACATCCTAAAACATGTGACCCCTAAAATACAATTAAAATACAAAGGTGTACTGCGTTTATATTACAGTGGCCTAAAATAGAACTTAGCCAAATATTTAACACAAGAAGTATATTATACAGATATGTTTAATCTGAAAAACTTTTGTCTAGAGAAGTTTTACTATGGTTTTACTGTGTACAATTTATCTGACTGTTTTTTCTTTGGTACATTTCTTTAATTTGTTGTAAAATGGCCGTTGTCATATGTAAATTCACAACTCACTGACCAGAAGCTAGTTCTCTGGACCAGTGATTAATTGATTTATTGAATGTTCTTTGCTTTATATCCAAGAAAACTAATATTTCCTGCATTAGGATTAACCAGAAGGGGAATAGGAAATTAAGAATAACAATGGTAAAAAAGGGTATATTAGTTATAAATTTTGAATTGCAACTGTTCACCTTTAGTTAAACCAAAAGGGAGTATGAAAAGATTCTTCAATAAGCAGAAAATTTAGCATTCTCTAAATAAAAGGCAACAGAATTGACCCCATTATAAATGGATATGGTAAAAATTGTTTGAAATTTCACAGTGATATCATACTTTAACTGTGTTTAAACCTGATTATTTACTTTTGACTTTAATTATTTATCCCTTGTAATTTTTTATTAACTGTGTATTTGCATTCAGGTGTCACAGGTCAAATTTATTCGTTCATCGTGTGTTAATTTACGCTTTTTGATTGAGTTAAGCCTTCCAATTGATATTTTATAGTGTGTTTTTCTATGTTGTGATGTTATACTATTGTTTCAGAAAAGGGAGAAGGTTTGGTACCATTAAAACATTTAATCCTGCTGCAAATGTTTGCACCTGTCCTAAGTCAGGAATCTGATTACAGTAGTTGTCGTCTGTTTATGTAGTTCATACGTGTTTCTCGTTTTTTTTATATAGATTAGACCGTTGGTTTTTCCGTTGGATTGGTTTTACACTAGTAATTTTTTGGGGCCCTTTATAGCTTGCTGTTCAGTGAGAGCCAATGCTCTGTGTTGAAGGCCGTAACTTGACCTATAATGGTTTACTTTTATAAATTGTAACTTGGATAGAGAGTTATCTCATTGGCACTCATACCACATCTTCCTATATCTATATATGGTATCATTTATACATCTAATACATCCAAGCAAATAGCGTATACATTTTTGATTTTATGCTACTCACCATTCCCAACATTTCTGGGGCCAGATTTACTACTTTATATACATGGCTATATACAATGAGGAATAAAAACCAGCTGGCTATACTTCCCCAAGTGGCTAAATGTGTTAACTGAAATAAAAGAAATATGGGCTATATTAGTGATTGCACTGGAATCTTTAGCAATGTTGTTTTTTATTTATCCACAATCATGCAAAAAAGTGTAATTACATATCTCTAACTGTTACTGGACTGATATGTTAGTATAGTTTTTTTATAACTTGTGGTTCACTTGTTCATACATTTTCATTTGTTCATATCAAACTATGATGCAAAATTTCTTCACAATTGAATTCTCAGATTTTTTATTGTCATGGAGTGAAAAGAAATTTGTTTTTTAAGCTTACCAGGAAATAATTTAATTTTGGATGTAACGCATCTTCTGATTGGCTGACGTTGCTTTGTTTATCAGCTCATAGACATAATTTTGTCATGTGACCGTGACGTCATCAACGTTTTTTCATGGTTTACTACGGTTTAAAATGGAATTTAGAATTAAATTATAATAACTGTAATATTTTTTCTGTCTATTCGAAATAACATAAAAAATGTGGTGCACACTTTAAAATAACCTGCGTAGCGGGTTATTCAGTGTGCACCACATTTTTGATGTTATTTCTTCATAGACAGAAAAAATATTACAGTCATTCCTTAAAGAATGTCAATGTTTGCCAATGTTTCATTTAAATATTTAGAGAGAAAATACCACCAGTGAAATACACTATTTCACCCTTCAATTCAGTTTTATTTTAAAATACATGTACTGATTACAACTTGCGTTAATGTAAAATCTAGCCATTTCAAGTGGTGTAATATGTATAGAATATTCTTGCATTGGTACCAGTGGATTATCTGATTTATTCATTTGAGGTAGTTAAATAATCTACTTTAACTATCGAGATTGGATAAATCCAATGCTCCATGAGTAACTATGCAAGAATCTGTTCATCTAATGATTTTCAAATGAATTGTCATTTTTGATAAACAAAAATCCCCTTTGAGTGCCTTCCACATTCCAGATTTCTAGGTCATAAGAATATAAAGATGTCAATTTCTCTAACACCTATCTGAGTGTCAGCACATTCGATTCATCCAGAAATCTGATAAAGGTCATAACCATTTAACTTAGCCAATCATCTATTGAGATATTGGCAAATACACATTGATTATTTTTTTTTAAATAATAGGTCCAGAAAGGGTTAAATTGCAAAAAAAATTAGAGAAATTGTATTCTAACACTGGATGTGGTAGAAGAATCTATATAGAACACCTACCTGATTTTTCATCTTGCAATTTAGAACAAATACTATTTGAATTATTTGTGATCAGTATAAGACACATTCTTTATAAACTTACCCAGGTCCAAGCACTGGTTTCTAATCCTGCTTTTAAACATACAGTTACTACTACATACTGAAATAGAAATGTATTAAATAATGAGAAACAATGACTATCACACTGATATTCATATTTAAGTACTAATTTTAATTGCTTTCTGCCAGGCTAGGTTTTAAACAACAAAGTTCTCACACAAAAAAAACGACAGAGAATAAATATAAGATTTTTCCAAAAATTTATTTGCTCTGCTCATCCAATTTCATTTGTAAATGTTAAAAAGTTTTCCTAGTCCACAAATGATGTTTTCCTTAATAACTAGCTGTATGAAAATGGTAGTACACATAACAAGAATTTCACAAAAAAATTGTTAAATATTTAAGATTTATGTTTTAAAACATATCATGAAATAGAGATAACCAAAACCAAATTTGATCCAGTTACAATGTATATTGGCGCTACATATTTTTACTTACAGTATATACAAAATTACATATTTTTACTTACAGTATATACAAAATTACATATTTTTACTTACAGTATATACAAAATTTCCTAAAAATAAATAATCTCCTACTTTCCCATCTGAAAAGGCTACATCTGAAATTTAAAACATGAAGCATGATAGACAACTTGTTGAATAATATTTTAGTTTCATTTAATTGTAAAAAGTGGAAGTTTAAATGTATGACATAAAGTATAATGAACAATTTCTTGAATTAGTTTCATATAATTGTAAAATGTGGAGTTAAAATGCATATAGGAGTAAATTCAGTAAATAAATTAATGTCATTAAGTACTGCCCATTTGGAGGAGAGCTTTCTGTATAACACTGAGGTCCTACCCTCTACTGATTGGTAGATAATGTTTGTAATAAATATTTTTTGATAGATGGATCAAAACTAGGGTTTAAAAAAATAAAAAAATTAGTGTTGATGAACTTAATTTTTTTAACTAAAGGGTTGAAAAGTAATGGTTCAGTGTAGGAATTTAGTGCTAATCTACAGTGTTTGTAAACAAAGCCATGTGAATGGCCCAAAAATGCATCATGACCCTATGTTTTTATAGTTGCAAAAGATGGGGCTATGTTTGTACTCTGATGAATGATATATGAAAGCTTCTGACTTCTAAAGGTAAAGCAGGTCTAAATTTAGTTCAAGAAATAGGTTTACATTGAAGTTAATGGAAGATTTTTTACTGAATTTACCCCTATAAACAAATTTATTTGTACATATTTGTAGATGCTGAATTTATCACTTATTTAAGCTCCTCTTGCACAATTCTAACCAATATTTAAGTAATCCTTGTTTTAGCATACTTTACCAATAAAGTGTACAATCTTTTTGAATATAACTAACACAAACTACTTTAATTTTAGAAACAGCAGTAAATAGTGCTTGTATATTGTTTTACATCAACTTTTTGAGTTTTGTTCATTGATTAGTAAATACAGTGAAAAGAACTTACCATGTTTTAAAGATAAGACAGGTAGCCAAAATAATAAAATAGAATGAAATATAGAATTAAGGATCCACATCCAGAACACCTGAAAAGCATACAAAATATAAATCATGATATTCATACATGGGCTAAGGACTCAAATCAATACAGTACAGGAGATTTACAAATGATAGATTTATAAAAGGGGGAGAAAGTGGAATGCAGATGTAGCATATTTAGATTGAAATGCAATTTATGAACATCATCATTTTGGATCATACCAAACTGTACAATATCACAAAAGTCACTTCAGGAATACCATAATTTCTGTCAAAAATAACTCCAAACAATAGTAATAGAGAATTTTTTTTTTTTTATTGTTTGGTCAAAATGGTCAAAACATACAGACAACATCATAGCTAATGGAAACAAATCTTTGGGCTTCTTAAAAAGAAATTTAAAAACATCATGTCAGAACATCAAAACCCAGGCATATCTGGCACTAGTTCGTCCTAAGCTTGAATATTCATGTTCAGTATGGGACCCTCACACAGCTGAACAAACCTCTAAAATTGAGATGGTCCAAAGACGAGCTGCCAGATATGTCTGTAACAGGTACCATAACATCAGTAGTCCTACAGACATGATAAACTCACTAAACTGGCCCACGCTACAAGAAAGAAGACTACGCACAAGATTGATAATGTTCTACAAAATAGTACATCAAATCGTAGCAATCCCATCTGCTATTCTCATACCATCAGACAGTAGAACCCGCAAAAACCATAGTTTCACTTTCAGACACATTTCTACTAAAAAAGATACATATAAATTTTCATTTTTTCCGTACACCATTACTCAGTGGAATTAACTACCAGTCCACACAGTCGCTGTAACCACAGTCGACACTTTCAGAGAACAGCTAACACCAACTGTTCTCCACAAATTCATTTAACTCATTATTAGCCTATGTACATAGTTTTAATCACAATTTAAAATTCTTACGCACTCCAAATTCATTTTCAATTATTTTTGTGTTTTTGTAAATATATATATAGGCCACGGAGCGCAAAACAGTATATAATCTTCAGATATTGAAGGACTACTGAAAACCGAAAGAAGAAGAAGATTAAAATAACTAACCAACCAAAATCTATTGCCTGATCTAATGTAGTAAAACCTTACTGCGCCATTTTTTTTTCATTTAGGAAAAAATATAGGCACACAATTTTGATAAAACTACAATATTTTTCTATACATACCTTCACATTGAAGAGTTCTGCTTGCTGTGAGGCTTTATATAGTGCTGGAAACTTCATCATGCTTTCAGAACTACATATTCTGTCAAACAGACCTATAGCTAACGGTGGTGCAGCAGTGAATAGCTAAGAGATACAAATGAAACAATGATAATAATATATTGACAAATAAGTGTTTAAAATTTTACCGCTGACTTAACAGGAAGAATGATTTATATTAAGTAAACACTTAACAATAAAGTAGTGTGTAAAATTTTATAGGAAACCTCACAGTAAGAGTTAATATAATGAAATCCAGGCCTACTCATTTCTAGTTTTCATAAACTTGACTGCTACTCCTAAAAAAACAGCATGTGTTAGCTATATTTTGTAAACTTTGACAAAGCATCCTTAAAATCTCTTATTCAGAGTTTTTCATAAATTTGGCAATTTTTTTGTGTTTTTTTCTCTAATTTTTAGTTTGAAAATTACCTGACCATTCAAGAAACAAAGAAATATAGTCTAGGAAGATGTTTACTGCTTTGCTGCATAATCACACCATATACACTGTTGTTTTTATGGCACCTTTCATTTGAATAATAATAACTTATTGTGATGGACAAATTCTACTTGTAACTAGATATACATACAAAATCCCACTTCTACCAGTAAAATAATAATTACAAATGTCTATACATACCACATTATAAAACCCAATGGTCCACTTCTCAAATAAAATTTGTCCTGAGAATCCATTAGAAATGGCAAACCAAAACTGTGGGAGGGATCAAAAGCATAATCATTCATAAAACCAGGTTCCAAATCATAACATGGTAACATTCTATCATGATCAATATAATAATGTACACAAAGTCAGCATTCCATTACTTTATAATTACATTACATATATATTTCATTATAATTTTGATTGGCTAACAGCAATCTCGCGTCATTCTGAAATTAGCCTTCATTTCAAAATGAAATATAACATTCATGATGACACGAGCTTCCACAATAAAGTGCACAGGTAAATAAAAGAAAAACTTGTTAGAAATCGTGTTTTCATGATCCTAGCAAAAAAATTTATTTATAAGTATTGAATGCTTCTTTTAGTGGTTGTAAAAGCGTTGACCGTGCCCACATTTATAAATTTACAAAAAGAAGCATTCTATTCTTAAATAATTTGAGCAAACATAGTGGTAGTTAACCAAATCAGATCATGGTGAACAAATAAACTTCATGAATGTCAGTCAAAGGGTTTACCTTATAATTATAAAAACAAACTGATATGGCATGGAACATTTCAAATTTAACATCACTAATTTACATTGTAGTAATTAATCAATTATACTTTTAACACTTTCTGGTAGGAGATATTTGCTGTGAAATGTGATTTTTTCATTTTCGTGCACAAACAAGCAGTATACATATCACAATGTTCAAGCTATCATTTCTTTTATGTACCAGAAGCATACAAGCAGTAAATAATACAAAATTCAATCAATCATCTCTTTGGATGTAACATAGAAATTTGAGTATCATTAATAAAATGCTGACTTTGTGTCAATAGCAAAATTCAAAAGCAAAAAAATAAAAAAAATATAAATGTGAAAACTCTTTTTTTATATTCAAAAGTGATCTTTACTGAACTCTAAAGTCTTTGTTTTCATACTGTCAATCATAACCATTTCAAAGTCAAGTCTGGAATATTTTATAACGACTTAAAATGCATCTTTTATGTCTTTCTTTTATTGTCAGACAAAATACACTTATTGAGTGTTTTGCCAGTGAAGTAAAAAGTCTAGTAGACAATAATAAAAAAAAGTTTTCACATTCAATAAACATAATAAGTATGTAAAATAGTTTCATTGTTATCATTCTTTCCATGTATTCCCATTTTCTGACGTAAGAATCGTAAATTCTCCAATTTCAGGAATTTTTAGTTTTCTCTATATAAAAACTTTTTTTCAAAATAAAAATCATTCAATTTCAAAAAATTTAATGAAATATTTATAACAGGATGAAGAACGGTAACAATGAAACATAACAAAATAACAATAAATCCCAGGCAGTATGTAAGCAGGAACTGATGCCATACCACATTGTAAAAACTTAAACTCCATTTCTCAAATATAACCTGTCCTGAACAACCTGCTTCAAATGTAAACCAAAGCTGAAACACAAGGCAGTTCATATATCAGATTCACTAATTCAATACAGCTCACTTATTTCATTATTTTTTTTTACAATGGATGCATTTATGCATGTTTTATTGCAAAGTGGGTAATCTTTCAAAAAACGATATTCTGATATTATCAGTGTTACAGTATACAAGCTAGAACCCTGCTTTTTAATAAATAACACGCTTAGCCATTTTTCATGAGCAAGCTTTCAAGTGTGCATGAAATCATGTCTGCCAAGCCAAACACTTTACTGGTACTAAGATTCTGAATGTTTCTGCCTTTGCTCTTACTCCCAAATGCTTTATGCCTACCAACAAATTCCATCTTCAAAGTCGTTTCTTTGACCAAGCCAATAATGAAATCATTCAACTCCCCCACTCAAGATGAGCATGCTACCATTGACGATATTTCTGATGTCACAGTTGTATTAACAGAACTAAATTATTTACCATTTTTATTTAGTTATTTCCATGTTTATTGCATATTTTTTTTAATTTCCTTAAATTCTGAAAATATGGTTCTGCATCATCAGCTTTTAAGTGACTCTTGCTTTTAAATTCCTTGGCTGGACTATATTTCAGGGTCATTAGTACAAGTGTTTGGACCAGCAAATACATTTTTATCATGTGACTGTGAAATTGCATAGTTTTTAAGGTTCTTAGTTATCTATACAGAACACAAAATAATCAATTACTACAGTTCTGCATCTAGGCTAATAGAACTCACCTCAATAACATAGAGACATATATTTTTGTAAAATGAGTATAATATAAGTTTACACAGTCTAGAATAGCTCCAGGCTCCATGGACTAGAAGTAATTTGTTCAGGAATCGGAACTGAAATAAACAAAGTACAAATAAAGAATAAGGATCACTGGATCTTATTTTTTTTTTTTTTTAAGATTTCTAAAATCAACTACATGTACCTGGAAAGAAATTTTTGTATATTTTTGTCTATTTGTAGAATTACATTTTTCTTGGATTACAAGATAGCTTCAGATAAACCAATTAAGGCAAGATAATTTATATGACTGTTTCCCAAGTAAAGAGAATTAACAAGATAAAATGATACTATACATGACCTAGCTGTATATACTAGACCTCTCTTGCAGTCTGGCACACACAAATAAAATGCTCCGCTGGGCGCAGCTTGATACGACCGCAGAGGTCGAACCCTGAACAGTTGGGGCAAGTATGGACACAACATTCAAGCTTGATACAGCACTGAATTTGGATTGTGATTAAATATTTGACACAGCATAGGTTTCTGACACAGAATGAATGTGGTCTAAGAACTTTAAAATTTTTAATTTACCTATTCAAACCATATCATTATTATTTGCTTTTATATATAAATCAGAAATAACAAATTTAAAATGGAAAATTTGAAAGAAAAAAAGGAAACCCCTCCCCCCCCCCCCCCCCCCCGCCCCCCAAATATTTTTAACCCCCTTATGATTCATCACCCCCAAACTCAATCCCAGACTTCCCTTTATGGTATGGTACCTTGCAGTACAATTTCAGAGAGATCTATACACTTGGACACAAGTTATTGTCTGGAAACTAGAAAAATGCTTGTTTTTTGGCCCCTTTTTGGCCCCAAATTCCTATACATTTAGGGCAATTACCCCCAAAATCAATCCCAGCCTTCCCTTTGTGGTATGGTACCTTGCAGTACGATTTCAGAGAGATCCATACACTTGAACACAAGTTATTGTCTGCAAACTAGAAAAATGCTTATTTTTGGCCCCTTATTCCTAAAATTATGAGGCAATTACCCCCAAACTCAATTCCAGCTTTCCCTTTGTGATATGGAACCTTGTAGTACAATTTCATAAAGATCCATACACTTACACACAAGTTATTGTCATGAAACTAGAAAAATGCTTGTTTTTTGCCCCTTTTTTGGCCCCTAATTCCTAACATTTGGAGGCAATTACCCCCAAAATCAATCCCAGCATTACCTTTGTGATATGGAACCTTGTGGTACAATGTCAGAGAGATCCATACACTAACACACAAGTTATGTCTGGAAGTTACAAAAATGCTTATTTTTGGCCCCTAATTCCTTAACTGTTGGTACCATAACCCTTAAAATCAATCCCAACCTTCCTTTTGTAATATTGAACCTTATGGTAAAATTTCATAGAGATCCATTCATTTAAACTAAAGTTAGAGTGCGAAAACCAATGTGTTTTCGGACGCGACGATGACGCCGACGTCATTTTTTTGCGGTCTTATAAAAACAAGAATGTGTGATCATAGCACACCACGCCCTTCTTGCACTGTCACATTTCCATGTTCTGTGAACCACGAAATCTGGGTCAAAACCCTGAATTGGCATATATTTATAAAAGTTTACATCATAATGAACATTTGTACTAAGTTCCAATCTCATACAACCGCAAACTACAAGTTTAATATCCTTAAAACAAAACTTTAGCCATATACAGGACTAAAGGATGTATTTATCGACAGACAAAAACATAATACCCCCTACTAGCCTAAGCAGGGCCTTAAAAATTAAAGAATATATGTTGGGTAATATTTTTTACCTGAGCTATTGCGTAGTCTGATGCACATGCTGCCTGCAATCCTTCTACACCACTTATACCTACTCCTACATGAGCTGCCTACAATTCAAAAGCAGGGTTAAAGGTCACTGAATTCACTATTCAATTTTTTATTATTATCAAGTACATACATTTAATGTAGAGTACAACAAAACAAACAAAAATTTGCAACAATTTCAAGCTGATTTATTTTATACCTGTCAATTTAATATGTTGGTAATATGTAAACATCTTAAATTGTCTGAGTAAGTTTGTGACTCATTAAAATGCCCCATATGATCATTTGGACAGATGTATATTTCAGAAATAAGTTAAAATCAGTTGTATAGTTTCAATGAGTTGTGAAATGCATGACCTTGTACCATTGGAAAGTAAACTGTACAATCACTTATTACTGAAGTAAATAGCTTACCTGAATCATACCAACATCATTGGCCCCATCACCTATGGCTAATGTGATGGCTTTAACTGATTTTTTTACTAGTTCTACTATTTCTGCTTTCTGTAAAGGTGATACCCTGAAACAGAAGTAAAAATGTGTTGGATGTTCCACCCTATTCAAAAAATCTTATTCAAGGTTAAAAGATATCACTTCCAGTTTGTTCAATTGTGCTTGATATCAATGTTAGAATGGCTTTTCAAACAGAAAATGATGAGCTAGAAAACATTTATTAAAAATATGATCTCTCATATGTTTGAATTACCTTTACATAAAACCATAAAAACATAATCAAATAAATGTCCAAAAAGAGGGGGATACAAGGAACTTGGCACTAATATTTTTAAATTGGCAACCATAATTTGATGCTGGCAATATTTCCGGCAGCAACTTTTTGGAGGTCAGTGCAGTCCCTGATTTATAAATATTTGTCATACATCATTTTACAAAAATAAATGAATGAAGATGAAAATATTCTTTCAGTATTTAACTTTGTCCAAAAGCTATGATCAGAGTTTGACAGCAATCAGGTTGTATGATACCTAGTTATGACACACAACCATTTTACAGAACCTAGAACATTCTTAAAAGTCCCATGATCAACACTCAATAGTCATGTGACAATAAGGATTTATACCTACTTACAACAGATTATAGCCTTACAAGATCTGGCTATGTCTAGAAAATCTTATCTACTGTCACATGATCAACAGTCATGTGACAATAAGGATTTATACCTACCTACAACAGATCATAGCCTTACAAGATCTGGCTATGTCTGGAAAATCTTATCTACAGTCACATGATCAGCAGTCATGTGACAATAAGGATTTATACCAACCTACAACAGATCACAGCCTTACAAGATCTAGCTATGTCTGGAAAATCTTATCTACAGTCACATGATCCAGTCATGACACAATAAGGATTTATACCTACCTACAACAGATCACAGCCTTACAAGATCTGGCTATGTCTGGAAAATCTTATCTACAGTCACATGATCAACACTCATGTGACAATAAGGATTTATACCTAACTACAACAGATCACAGCCTTACAAGATCTAGCTATGTCTAGAAAATCTTATCTACAGTCACATGATCCAGTCATGTTACAATAAGGATTTATACCTACCTACAACAGATCACAGCCTTACAAGATCTAGCTATGTCTAGAAAATCTTATCTACAGTCACATGATCCAGTCATGTTACAATAAGGATTTATACCTACCTACAACAGATCACAGCCTTACAAGATCTAGCTATGTCTAGAAAATCTTGTCTGCAGTCACATGATAAACCATACTTCAAACTCTGAAAAAATATCACACAGATGATATGACTTGCTGTATAAATAATTCTGATTTCAATGGGATTTGAAATCTATAGTTATAAAATCTAATGCACAAAGGAATATGGATAAAAATAACAAGTAAAAATCATTCTCTTGCTTTTTATTAAATTTTCAATCTGATACAATTACAAAAACAAGTTTCCCTCAGTACCTATGTTGTTACTATAGTTACCATCATGACATCTCTATGCACAGTGCTTATACATATATTGTGATGAAATAAAACATCTACATAATATTTCCACAAAACTGGAAAAAGTCAACAAATATTGTAATACTTCTAAAAACCTTTCAATGGGACATCACAATTCATTACAGAATTTTCATTTTAGTAAATAACTGAAGAGAAAACTTGAATTGTTTGTATTGTTTCATCTAAAGGATTGATTATCTAATGTCTCCAAGGTCGTAAAATTACTTACAGTAAAATCATTTCAAAAGAAATTTTTATCAGAAAACAAAACCTTCAGAGGTAAATTAAGTAGAGAGTGTGTATAAAAAGAAATATGGTACATTAATCACTGTATTATACAAGAGTGCACACGCTGAAATGTCTCGCCTTCTTTACTAATCATTGATATTATGTTGATAGTCCTAAATATAAAGCTTTATTACAACTGTCACATAAACTTAACATTAACCAAGTAAACTGAACATTGACCAATGAACCATGAAAATGAGGTCAAGGTCAGATGAACCATGCTAGGCAGGCATGTACAGCTAACAATTCTTCCATACAACAAATATAGTTGACCTATTGCTTATAGTTTAAGAAAAACAGACGAAAACACAAAAACTTAACACTGAGCAATGAACCTTGAAAATGAGGTCAAGGTCAAATAAAACCTGCGTGACTGACATATAGATCATAAAATATTTCCATACACCAAATATAGTTGAACTATTGCATATAGTATTAGAAAAAAAGACCAAAACTCAAAAACTTAACTTTGACCACTGAACCATGAAAATGAGGTCAAGGTAAGATGACACCTGCCAGCTAGACATGTACACCTTACAATCATTCCATACACCAAATATAGTAGACCTATTGCATACAGTATAAGAAAAACAGACCAAAACACAAAAACTTAACTATAACCACTGAACCATGAAAATGAGGTCAAGGTCAGATGACACCTGCCAGTTGGACATGTACACCTTACAGTCCTTCCATACACCGAATATACTAGACCTATTGCTTATAGTATCTGAGATATGGACTTGACCACGAAAACTTAACCTTGTTCACTGATCCATGAAATGAGGTCGAGGTCAAGTGAAAACTGTTTGACGGGCATGAGGACCTTGCAAGGTACGCACATACCAAATATAGTTATCCTATTACTTATAATAAGAGAGAATTTAACATTACAAAAAATCTGAACTTTTTTTTCAAGTAGTCACTGAACCATGAAAATGAGGTCAAGGACATTGGACATGTGACTGACTGAAACTTCGTAACATGAGGCATCCATATACAAAGTATGAAGCATCCAGGTCTTCCATCTTCTAAAATATAAAGCTTTTAAGAAGTTAGCTAACGCCGCCGCCGCCGCCGCCGTAGCCGCCGCCGCCGCCGCCGCCGGATCGCTATCCCTATGTCGAGCTTTCTGCGACTTTTGTCGCAGGCTCGACAAAAAGTACAAAATCAAAATTTGACAATAATGTGTTGGCATTTCTCAATAAACTTTCATAATACAATTTCAGCAAATATCGCTAAAGTTAAAAGTGACAAAAATAAAATACTAATATAACTATAGCTTTTACTATTACTATTTGCATGCTTCCACATTCCCCATTGAAAATTAGTATAAAACAGTTCTAAAGATTAAGATCAAATCATGCATGACTGAAAGCAAATCATTCTTCTTATAATAAACTGTCTTCACTGTTGTTCTTTTAAGCATTTTGGGAAAACATTGATAAAATAAAGATGTCTATGTGTGTTCTAATATTTTTTACCTATGAATAAGATCATTTCTAAAATCTTTTGTCAAATATTTCATACGATTACCTGCTCACTATTCACAAATGTAATACATATTTCATAATTTAAGAGTGCTTCCACACACTTCCTTCGAAATGTTGAAATTGTTTCTATTTTCAATTAAAAAAAAAAAACACCTCAATTTTTTTTTAATTCTTCAATATTCAAAATCTAATCTGCTTACAAAGAAGGCTTATACATCATAAATAACCAGAAACCACATCTACAGAAAAGATATGTACCATTCATGTTTTCTTTGTTCTTCACAATGGTTGGAGTTAAAAATATAATCAAGGAATCCTCGATTAACATAAAGATAAAATGTTAGAATCTTTCATTGCAAGTCTGTCTGGTTGAAAGTTAAGTATATTCTGTCTACTTTTGTTAATATAAATAAATACACTTATCATATACTAATAGGCCTTTTCTGGAAAAAATTATCCTATGTATTCAAACATGTATTTCAAAACTTTGTATAATATAACATGATGATGATATATAAATCTGTTTATTACATTGGTAGCAATGAATTACATTGTTTCCCAGTCAAATAAAAACCGATAATTTCACATGTGAAATAAACGTGGTTATTTCACTCTCTGACGTCATACAACAATAGGCGTTGTCAAGACGTCGATAACGTCGGATCAAAACAAATTGTGAATGCGTAGAAAAAAGATATAGTTCCTTACATTTTCTACATTAATTTCATTAAAAAAGCCATTTGCCAATGTAATAAAAAGAATAACTAATCAAAGAATTCAAATATTCAACTCGTGACCGAACAACACTGATAATTAACTCATGCGCTACGCGCATTCGTGAATTAATGTGTTGTTCGGTCACTCGTTGAATATTTTTCTCTATTTGAATTCTTCGATTAGTTATTCTATAATTAATAAATAGGATTTTCCTTATTTACGAGATAAGAAGTGGTAAATATTCCTTGGGAAAATAACATGCATGTTGAGGGTAAAAAATAATTGCATTTTTTTGGGGAACAGAAACAGATGCAAACCAATCTGACATTAAAAACTTAACAAACAGAAAAAAAAAGACTGAGCAAGGACTTAATTAATAAATTCAGAGGACGAGGTATACAAGGGATTTATGTAAACAGGAATAAATAGTGGAATGATTTGGTTTTGCTGGGTATAAAAGATAAAATGATGTGTACAATTCTGTGATATTATTTTTGCTTGTCAACATAGTTGCAATGTTTAAGGTTCAAATGGTGTTTTTATACTGTCCAAAAGGGAAAATTTGTATACCCTTTTTTCTTATTCAATGATCTTAAAATAAAAACAAATTATTTGTCAATGAATATTTGTAGCATATAATATTAATTTTTAATAAATGTCTTTTACTTCTTACAAGAGAACAGATAATTTTCATAAAACTTGGTTTACTATCACTTTCCCTTGCCTCAAACCTGTCCAAAGATGCTTCAGTCAATATCCCTTAGATTATTCCTTCGAAATTTTAGGTTGTTTTTCCCATTTTTTGTTATAGAATTTATAATATCCTGGAGAAGAGTAAATTAGCTATTTTTTTTCTACCTATAATTAAAACTGTTAAAGTAAGCTACAATTACCAACTACTGCACATATATGTTTATGACCATTTAAAAAAAAAATATATTCTATATATATATAACTGTGGTATATAATGCACCTTGAACTTGTAAAGGTCATCACTATCAACTGTAAAATGTTTATTCCATTCCTCACCAGATATGTTAATCAGATTTACCACCACAAATGAATACATTTATATCTAAATGCCTTTTCATCATTTCATTTACTGTTATATCAAAATATGTTACAAGAATTATTTAACGTGAGGTCGTTTCCTTTAGGCTGTTCTTATACACTTTTCATAACTTCTATATATCTAGTCAAGCTATAACATCCCAGAAACTATGATTATTTTATTTTTTGCAGAGTTTCTGCTACAATTGGTTAAAATAAATGCAGTGGTCTCCATGGTAATGCTCACTTAGAAGTTCTGTTTAGCTTTCTACATTTTTGTTGTAGATTACTTTTTATTATAAAATATTCAGTAATGATAATATAATATTTTAAATCGGAAACCAGGATAAAATTAGCCTATTTTTTTTGGGAGGGGGTTACGAAAAAAAAACCTAATCAAGTAAGAAAGTTTATTCTTTTTTGGCACACGAGTAAAAGCATTAAAATAGTGTTTTAACACAACTTTTTTGAATTATTTAAGAAAAAAAGGACAATAATTGTTCTAAATACAACAGAAATGCAATAGTTTAAATATTAGTAGGTAATTAGATATAAGTATTACAAATACCAATTAAACAGTATTAAAAATTAAATGTACTATACTCTAATACTACAATATACAAAATGTAATGCCAAGCTGAAGGGATTCACGAACTGCACACAACATTTTACATGTATATTAACCTTTCTTTTTATTCTTGGCCCTTTGACCTGAGGTTCAACCACAGAAAATATATGATCCAAAGTCTGAAGATTAAAGAAGAAAAAAATAGATAAAAAAATGTCTTGAAATGAAATGCTTGTTTACTTCATTCTGGTTGTTGTTTCAGGTAAGTTTTACCTCAACAGATGAGATCTGACACACAAATTGCACTATGATGCAATGTGATGCCTATATTTCATATGAGAAGCAGTGAGGATTGGGATATTCTTGAATTTCATTATTTCGGGTAAATATAATTTTTTGGTTTTGATGTTTTCCTTCAAATAATGTTTTACTCTAAAGGGGTAAAGCTTAATGCCTTTCTTCAATGCTTACAATAAGATGATGAAAAAAATCACAAAAAAATACCTTGAATATATTCAATTGATTTAAAATTGAAAATTTTTATGCACACACTAATGACTGTGTTTAAGTAAGAGAAAATTGGTTTGCAGTTCAGGTCTTCTTTACCACACCCTTCAGCTTTATAAACAAAAACAAAAAACTGAGGTGCAGAAAAACAGCAAACAAACAAATCAACTCAAGCTATTTTTAAATACAGAGAAAATATAAGTCAGGGTTTATTAAACATATACTTTGTGCATATTGACATGAATACAATGTGAGGCATCTTTTCTATAACAAGCATTCTGAGAGTATTGCATGGCAATACATAGTCCCCTACCGGTTAAAAATTAATTGTACTGGAACAAAATGCTAACTTGATATATAACTTGTCATGGTGTAAACTATACTACAAATATCAAGTCAATATCTTCAAGCATGACGAAAAAAAGTGCAGAAAACTGATAATTTAAGTGAATTTTCTAAGTCCAAGGACCATAACTCTGCAAAAAATCATCAAACCGAAACAAAATTCAAACTTGGTCTGTAACTTGTCATGATAAAACAATGTACCAATTATTAAATCAATATCTTCAAGAATGACAAAAAAAAGTGCGGAAAACTGAATATTTGAGTGAATTTTTTAAGTCCAAGGACTATAACTCTGCACAAAATTATCAGACTGGAACAAAATTCGAACTTGATCTGTAACTTGTTATGATAAAACTATATACCAATTATCAAATCAATATCTTCAAGCACGACGAAAAAGTACGGAAAACTGATTATTTGAGTGAATTTTCTAAGTCCAAGGACTATAACTCTGCAAAAAAATCATCAGACCGGAACAAAAATCGAACTTGATCTGTAACTTGTCATGATAAAACAATGTACCAATTATTAAATCAATATCTTCAAGAATGACAAAAAAAAGTGTGGAAAACTGAATATTTGAGTGAATTTTTTAAGTCCAAGGACTATAACTCTGCACAAAATTATCAGACTGGAACAAAATTCGAACTTGATCTGTAACTTGTTATGATAAAACAATATACCAAATATCAAATCAATATCTTCAAGCATGAAGAAAAAAAGTGCGGCAAACTGAATATTTGAGTGAATTATTTAAGTCCAAGGACTATAACTCTGCACAAAATTATCAGACCGGAACAAAATTCGAACTTGAACTGTAACTTGTTATGATAAAACAATATACCAAATATCAAATCAATATCTTCAAGCATGAAGAAAAAAAGTGTGGAAAACTGATTTGCCGAACTGACAGAAGGACAGACAGACGGACAGACAGACAGACAGACGGACGGAGTGCAAACCTAAAGTCCCCTTCGACTTAGTCTGTAGGGGACTAAAAATATTATCTATATATAGTGACCTATTACAAAGTCTTTAATGTACTGCTTTATTATAAACTTGAAAAGATGATACACTGTACTTTATAAACTTTATAAAAATAGCAGTTAATGTGTTATGAAAAGAAATCTACTAGTATTTAAACAACAAAAACGTAGGTGAAACCAAGTGGGTTATAATAAGTATAATAGCAATTTTTAAAGATTCAAAATTCCCTACCTGTCCATCTATAATGAGACCCACATCATTATCTTTCTTCAAACATTCTCCGAATTCTTCTACATGTTTTCTTAGAGCTTCCCTGGTTCCCTGATGTTAAGAGATAAATACTTTGTATATGAAGAATTTGTTAGCCTGCAAGTCCTGATCATTCACTGGACCAAAGACTACAATTATACTAGTACAAATTTAGAATATATAAATTTCAGAAATATAAATTTTTAATATACTAGTAAACCATAAAAAACAAATTTATCTTTCAGAAATATAAATTTTTAAATTCATTTCTTCAACAATCCAAATGGAACAATTTGCAATAAAACATTTTAAGAAATTAAAGGCCATTGTTGTCAACATACATGATATCAAATAAAGATACTGTGCATTCCTCGTACAGTGTCATTTTAGTGACTGTGTAAGGTAGCAACCAATAAGATTTTGAAGTACATCCTTTGGGTTGTGTTCATCTGTTGAACAGTCCTACTTACATCTAAGCTGTGTTCATTAATCACAATGAGTGGTATATATTCTGTTAAACAGTCCTACTTACATCTAAGCTGTGTTCATTAATCACAATGAGTGGCATATCTTCTGTCAAAAGCTTGCAGGAATATCCTGAAATATCAAAAATACTACTTGATCACAAAAGCTTCTACATAAGTTTTCTAATAGACCATAACTGCTTTTTTTTAAATGAGATGCTTTAGAGGAACAAAAAAATTAAGAAATCATGCTTCATTAAGTTTCTTTATAAACAGTTGAAAGTGATTTCAGGGCACTTGACAAATGTATAAAGTGATTTCAGGGCACATGACAAAAGTATCTTAATTATTGTATGCTTAAAATAGTTTTCTATGTCTGAACAAAAACCAATTCCAAGCAAGTATTTTTGCTACATCAATTTTAAAACAGAACATTTTCATTTTAGAATCAACCTGTTATCTTTTACCTATAAGTGACTGAATTTGACTAAACAGGCAAATGTAGTGACTGTTAACAAGACAGCAGTCCACATGAAATATTAGGAAATAACTATATCTTTTATAATTGTTTTTCATCTTCTTGATTGCTATTGTCCTGAACATGCATGAAATATTTACCACTGGACATTAAGCAACAAACAATCAATCAATCTTGATTGCTAAGTCTTAATTAAGAGGGCCCAAAAATTATACTAAGATAAAGATGACCCCTAGCATCATTTATGATGGAATTTTTAGATATTCATTAATAAATATATTCTATATCTTTGAAGCTTATAGATAGGAAAGTAATAAATAAATCAGAAAAAATAACTGTACTTATCTTAATTTCCCATACATACCTATATTTATAGCTGTTTCCTGTTTGTCACCAGTTAATACCCATATTTTAATGTCAGCTTTGGCTAAGTTGGCAATAGCGTCTGGTACACCCTGGAATAGGAAAAAAAGATGACAATGAAACTTTTCGATGAAGTACACATTGATAGTAGAATAAATATCTTTTTAAAGAGGATGTACTATGAATACGTTTTAAATGTACTCAAATATTTAATTTTTCTTTCAATGAATGTTATTTGTTGGATTTTGTATTGATACTGTGGAAGCTGATTTTAAGATTTTCAATTTAGGCAGCTTTCCAGTTTAAGAAGGGTTTGGTTTCTAAAGGTTTCACTGTAGTTATTTACCTCCTGAAGTTTGTCTTCAATTGCTGTAGCACCGAGTAAATGGAGATTCTGAAAAGAAAAAGAAACTTAAGGTAGATTCATGGTATACCGCCATCTTGGATTGTACAATCGAAGTACACAATCGGTCTAGTTATTTGTCCAAATCTGCAAATTAGGAGACAGATTTGCAATTTATTTGTCACACTGTTTATTTATTTCAAGAAAACTTGGTGATTTATTGTATTATTCAAAATATTCCAACAAATATTAAATTTTGTGTTTTGGAATCATTTTTTTCAACTAAGCCATTTAAGGGGAGATAACTCTTTTTGTAAAAAATTACACTGGCTTGATAGGGAAATTTTTAATTTTTACTTGTAGCAAGAAAACAAGTTCGGTGACACCATTTTTTCTTTTTATTTTCTTAAAACATGTTATAAAACCTATCTTCTCACAATTTATTTCAAAATTCTATCTCATAGATTTCTTTTTATGCATACAAATGTGTATTTTTATGAACAATCTAACCAGATTTAGGCAATTTTCAACGACTCATAGCTTGAAAAATAGCACGGTGACCCATACTTTTTATTATATTTTTGAAAAAAGCATAGTAAAATCTTCATTTTGGCAAAGTTTAAGAAAATTCTATCTCAAAAAATATATACCGATGAACTACCTTAATAATAACAAGAATAAACTGTTGACACAGAGATGTGTCTTGCCTGTCAGCATAAAATTTAGAAAAAGACAATCTGATGGACAGCAACATTGCTAATTACTTCAAAGTCACTGGACCATGAACTCATGGGCAGGGCCTCGAAAGGGTCAACAAACTGAGATGTACAGACAGTAATGTAACTTTATAGAAATATCATTGTCTATTGTAAGTAGTTCCTAACTTATGCAGAAAACTTAACATTGAAAATTGGTAATTAATTCAAAGTCAATGGACCATGACCTAAGGAGACAGGGAGTCAAAATAGTTGTCAAATTGATATGTACTGATAGTAATGCAACTTTATAGAAAATATCATTGATCTATCACAAGTAGTTCCTATCAGACTGACTTGAGCAGAAAACTTAACATTGAAAATTGCTAATTAATTGAAAGTCACTGGACCATGACCTAGGGGACAGGGCCTCAAAATAGTCTTCAAACTGATATGTACAGGTAGTAACGAAATTTCATACAAAATATCATTGATCTATCACAAGTAGTTCTTATCAAACTAACTTAAGCAGAAAACTTAACAATTATTGACGCCAACAACGGCAATGTCGTCTTTGCCTTAAAAGCAATACCTATGTCTCGCCTTCCGCGACTTTCGTCACAGGTGAGACAAAAAAAGTGAGATCAAATTTATTGAAGGTAATAAAAAATTGATTTTGTTCAGCTTCGTCAATTAATTTTTGCATATTACTGTTTAGAAAAGCTATATTGTTTAATACACATTTAATGGAAAATGTATGTTTGAAGAATTTCATTTTCTCAAGATGTTGTTTAGTAACCTGTTGATATAATTACCCTCTCTATAAGTTCTGCTGCCTCTTCTAACTTTTTATCCCTGTTCTGGATAGAAGTACTGGCTTTATAATACGTGTGTTTCCAATCTTCATAAAATTCTTCTGACACATCAGCAGTAGCTATACATAATGTTCTCAAACCTGAAAATTTTAATCATTCTTATAAAATATATAGAGTTGTTTAGCTAGAGGCTCAAAGGAGCCTGTGTCCTTTTAAACATGAGATCATTCAGTTCAGTAATAGTGGAGAAATGTGTGAAGAAAACTTTAAATTCATGCAACATATTGAAGACTTTGTATCGGTAAACAGGGTGAAGGTGTTTGACAGATCAGAAAAGTGCTCACAAGTTGAAAAACATCACTGTCAATCTACTGACCAAATATGAAGTCATTCTGTACAATAGTAACTGAGAAAATTGAACTGAAGGATGGACAAGGTGAATGCTATATAGCCCCAACTCCTAGAGCAGGTAATAAAATATGCTCACTCCTATAGGAAGATATCTAAGGTAATCACACCTGTTGGTTGAATACTCTCAAGGAAAAATCAGCTACAACACTACCAACAGGTTTCATAAAGTCTACTCACAAAATTTATTTGAAATCAGATTCATTTGTGAGAGGCCAGTAAGTATTTAAAATTGTCAAGACCATCAGCAGAAAATAATGTGTAAACAAGAAAGTATGACTGACAGTTTGACAGCTATATTTTGTCTTCATGCCTCTGTTGATGTTAAAAATCCTGAAAACATTTACACTCAAGCTAAACTACTGAAGTTCTTACCTAAAGTAGCGAATTCTTTTAAATGTTTTAAAGTCACCTCACCGTGTGCTTGTTTATCTTCTAGTCGTTCATATATAACTGTATCCTGAAATATAATTCTTCACACATGAGGAAACTCATTCAATACAAGATCGTTATTTTTCACATAGTAAAACCATTGAATACAAATCTGTCAACAATAAATGATCATATGAATAGGTCATCCTCCAAGTGATTACTTTAATGTATTTTAAAGGTATAAACCATAATCAACTTTTCTGAGCATTTTCAATTCTAGTAATTTTGTTACTTAAGCTTATCGAAAAACTGCTAGAAGTTGGAATAAAAATTTCACCAATAGAACTCAAGATTGATCTTCAGTAAATCAAGTTGTTTCACCTACTGTAAATTCAGAAATTATTGCATGCATTTATTATTGCGATTTTGTCATTTTAAACTAAAATGAGATTTTAAGTTTTGCGATATTGAGAAAAATCCTGTTTAATTTATATAAAAAATTTCAAAAAGCGAGTTTAAATTATCGCGATTATAACCATTTCTCATTTTTCGCAATAATAAAAACATCGCAATAATTTCTTAATTTACAGTATCAGAGGTGTCAAAAAATAAACAGCAACCAAATTCATAGATCTGACTCTATATAAAAACAGCAATTTTGGCGATTATAGAAAAAAATATTATATCTCTAAAATGAAAATTCTTATTCTTGAAGGACAAGTAACAAAACTAAAAAGAAAAAGAAATTGCCGACATACACATTAAAATGGTCACTCTTTGCATTATAAATTTGAAAGTCATATTGAATTTTTACCTCTGGACCCAGTTGTTCATCTCTTGGTTAAATAAAACCCTTGATTAAATATAACCCAGGGTTAAATCTTTTAACTGAGGGTTACGAAACCAAGGGTTAAAAATCCGTTGTTCAACTTCTTTTTAACACTTGGTTACGTAACCCATGGTTAAATTTTCATTGAATGTTCATTTTTATCAAAATAAGAATTATGAACACTTTCCTCAAGTCCAAGAAAAACTGTCTGGTCAATAAATATGATTTCTTATCAAAAACAATATGCTTTTCAGCATCTAAAGTCATTAAATAGAACAACAACGCGGACATGACAGAGAGCATCTATTGTTTGAAAAGAAGCGTTGATCGTAAATTATTTGATTATTTAGATAAATACATTATCTTACTAAAAAATGTTTAATTTTGCTGCATAAATTTGTTTATTAACATACCGGTAGAAGATGACAGGGTAAAAAATGTTGACTTGAAAAATGTCTGATAGGTAGACATAAACCTTGATGCAAAAAAGGGGGAAGGACTGTAAAACGTAATAATCAGTTTTGATCAGTTTTTGATTACTAATGGTCGTAGAAAACGAAGGATATGTTGTATCAAACGTTTAGTGACCTTTCCAATCTAGTAATAAACAGGGAATCGTACTTTTAACCAAAACTATTCCTTGGTTAAAATTTTAACAGAGGTCGGAAGCAAGGTTAAATCTGAATTATTTAACCAAGGATTTAACAAAGGGTTAAATTAACTACAGGATGAACAACAGAAAATAACCTATGGTTAAATTTTAACCAAGGGTTATGATATTTAACCCTTGGTTAAAATTTAACCAAGAAATGAACAACCAGATACAATTTTGAGAAATTTAGAAAAATTGAAATTTTAGTATATGCGTAGTCATGCTAAGCATAACCTCACTCAAGTTCAATGTATAGGAAAACAGGAAGTATGTGCCTGACTGATCCAAAAAGCCCTAACACATAACAACTCGAGGCTGTCAAGCTGCTGACCAAATATGAAGTCATTCTGTTCTGTAGTTCCTGAGAAAAGTGTGATGAAAATATTTGTTTTCATTCAACATATTGATAAATTCAAAGTATCAGCAAACAGAAAGTAGATTACAGAAAGATCTGAAAATGGCTCACATGTTATATATAACTCATCATTGTCAAGCAGCTGACTAAATAAGAAGTCATTTTTAAGCAGTTCCTGAAAAAAGTGTGACAAAAATATTTGTTGGACACACAAAGTTGATTACAATATAGCCCCCAGTCATAGAGAGGGGGAATAATAAAATTGATAATGGATTAGGTAAAGTGTCAAAGTTTTTTATATGTAAAATTTGTGACTGAAAAGGTAAAGTGTCAAAGCTTGTGAAATATAAAATTTGAGATGACACTGGTAAAGTATGTCAAAGCTTGGATATAATTAGCAATTAATCTGTATTGAATATTTGTTACTGGATACTTACAGCTCCTTTACAGTACAGTTTAATTTTATTATCTGGTGTTCTCACTACCACAGACATTCTTTTTCTAGTACTGCAAAACATAATATATCTGGTTCATGTACTTAGTTTCAATGCATAAAAAAGGAATAACTTTTCTCAGAGAACAGAATAAACAATGCATACATTATCATTTTCTTTTAAGGGGCCAATCTTATCCTTTTTGTATAACATGTATAATGAGCTATTAAAATCTGTAAAAAAACATTGTAACCTAAATTGCTCATAGATAAAATCCACCTGATTTAAGCTCCTTCATTAAAGCAATACTGATTTCAATACTAAACAATTTTTTAAATAGTCTTTAAATAGACTCACAAACATGTTTAACATTCTTTATTATTGCTTTTATTATTTCTATATTTCTTTTAGATAGCTCTACATATTCTTTACAAACTATTGACAACTTTGAAAGAGTAACAATAGTCAAAATCGATATTTAACACTTGGTTTTTTATATTTTAAACAGCTATTAAAGAATTCATAATATGCAAAACATATAAACTGCTTCGGATAGTAAATGACCTTATGCAAATGAATATCAATACATCTTTTGACATATTTCGGATTGAAAAATTTCTATGGAAAGTCTGTAACTGTTTGAAAATTGAGTTGATATAAGAACTCTACAAAACAGACCAAAATTCATCATTTATTTTGTATTTGAATGTTGCATAATCAATCAAAGTCTTATACATGTTCATGTGTACACGCACTTGCAAATAGTTGATTTCTATCCAATGCAGCTCATATATAAAGCAAACTTTAATTCAATGATCTATCGGTACACTCAAATAAGCTCTGTAAAAGGTTTCCTTTTTTATCATGACACATGTCCATCAAATTTCTCAAAAAAAAATTTGCACATGACATATTTAATTATTTGAAATTAAGATATTCTGTTAGCTCTTATGTAATACATACCTTGTAAATTCTAAAACATTTAATATGTCATAACTTTCTTCTCTTCCTTCCTATCAAAAGAAATATAATGGCATAAGAATGTTATTAAAATCTGTGACATGGTATCAAATAAATTTCAAATTAAGCAATGAATGCAAACCATCACATCACTAAATTGGTCAAAGAAATTAAAATGTTCTGTATAAAGATATGCTTCTATTTCTAGAAATGTTGCCAAAAATTGTGGCAAAAGCATTTAAAATGCCAGTTAATTAATCTGAAGACTATTCCATCACATCTTTCAATGTACATTTTTGTTATAAAAGCCATGGAAAAATCCCCAATTTATAACAGTATTATCCACTGTAGATAGACACAGGAATATGAAGTACAGTTATCATGTTTCTACTTACAACTTTTATAGTAACACCTTGTGGAGTTCTACCAGAAAACATATAACCTAACATCTTAGCACCTTGAACTAAGGCAGCCTCATCTAAAATAAAAGTAATATTATACAAGTATAAACAAAGATATGGTATACACATTGTACTCTGAATGATATTCTAAGATTATAAACCTTAATATTGATGAGGATATTTGGACATTACAGTAATGATTGTACAAAAATGTAGAAATATACTATCACATGAATGTGATTCCAGATAATACACATGTATAATTAAATACCAGAATTTCACAAAATTGCATAATGATATTTCTGCAGATACTGTTATTTTAAAATGAAGAAAAAAGAAAGTACCATTTTGTAAAAAAAAAAAATTCCTGTTTGCCAGTGATTTTTTTCTTCAAGATTATGAAAATAACTTGGTTATAATTGCATTTTAGTACATGTATTATCTTCTTTTTATTCTTACATGGGCAGTCAAATTTTTACTATTATAGCTTTTTGATGAGGTCAATAGAAGTCATGGTTTAATCCATCTGATAAAAGTATATTTACTCAGGATGTATATGTATTGACCGATATGAACTGGCTACAATTGTTTTATTATAACATCATATTATCAAATCGTATGCCTTAATTTTGTTATGATTTTGGAACAAATCTAACCAAAATCCAATAAAAGCTAGATTTTTATTTGCTGAACTTTCTAATCAACCTCCAATCAATTGTTACCTATTTAAAAATGGAGTTTATAGTCAAATCTAAAATTTATCTTGTCAGTATGACTTTTTGGTGTCTATTTTAAAGTAGCACACATGCAATACATGTTTTTATAATAAAAGCATGTGACATGAATTGACAAATGAAAGCTTTAAAATTATATGATATTATGATAAAACAAGATAATCACACTAACCTGGAGATGAAGCTTGATATACAAGAGAAGTCTGACCATTCTCATGGATAGTCTCTGGAACAACAGTATGACATACAGATAGCAATGTTAGGAATTCTCTGATAATAGGAGTTGTCACATGATTCTTCTTGAGATTTTCTAATAGCAACTGATCGTTGAACTTATCGCTACTTTCGTCATCATTTCTACAAAAAACAAAATATTATCAAATTTTATTTTATTTACTTTTGTGTTTTCTGGTGAATTCTAATCATATGCAGATGTATGGTGTCAAAAACAAACAACAGGTAATTTTGATTCAGTCTTGTTTAATAATGCTTAATAAATTATAACTGATGTATTGTTATTCTTCAATAGAAAAATATGAAGTTTGTGCTGGTACATTCCTGGCTTTTATATGTATGGGTTTGATCATTCCTGATGACAGTTAATTTAGAAAAGTACATGAAATTTATAAAGTGCTTTTTTTCATTTTTTGTGCAAGCCATAATGTCACTGCATCTGATGTTTGTTTATTTGATAGGTATTGATATAAAAACAGAACTTACCCATAACAGATACCTGCTATAGTACACTTCCTGAATTCCATTACATTTCTGGTCAGTGTTCCTGTCTTATCAGAGAATATGTACTTCACCTAAAAATAAATATCTCGTAAAACATTTCTTCAACTACAGGATTTGGCAAGATAATAGTACTCAGGGCTCACAATACTTCAGTATCATTGGGAGAAGTAATCTCTTTTTTCTAAACTGAAAGGTAGAGCTAGTGAGACTTCAAAATATTATTCACATTAAAAAAAAAATGGAGATGAAAAATTTCCTACGGCACTTCAGATTCTTTAAATGTTTCATTAAAGTACTGACATTAGTTTACATTGCATTGCATATGCAAGATGGCTACCAATAATCATAAATATGTTAAAGTCTATCTTGTGCTATGGGAGCATCAAAAAATCATTTGTATAAAAACTATCATAAAAGGTGCACAATGTCATAAAGTACAAAATATTTTGATATTTTCACTTAAATATACAAAGTATCAGCAGATGGAACAAACCAATATATGAAAGGAAATAATTATCAATTAACACTCTCACATCACTGAAAGGGGTATGATATATAATGAAAATAACTACCGGTACTCTGCTTCTCTGGAGATGAATTTCTAATTAAATCACTTTCTGACCATAACACTTTTTTTATGTTCATGAACAATACTGTTATTACAAGATGCACTATCAAAAATTAAATAAAAATTCAATTGAACTATGAAATAACCAAAAGTGAAAAAAACATTTTCTTCCCCCCTCCCCGCAGCAGAGTTCTACCAGAAACAAATTGATACTTATAACTTTAAACAGTTACCCTCCATTTTTTCAATACATTGACTATTGTCTATATACTCTACCTGTCCCAACTCCTCATTCAGATTTGATGTCCTAGCCATTGCAGGTGTATCTGTTTCTGCATAATACATATCTAAATCCTATAAAAAAAGAATTTTTACAAATGACAATCTACTTCTTCCACTCATTTCATCCTCATGAACAGTACAAAGTTATTTTACTGTGAATTTCTGCTAAACTTTGTAAATAAATTAAAATATTTAATTTTCTGTCATGAGAAATGAATCTATTATCAACTCATGTAGTAGTATTTTTTAGATTTGCTCAAGAATTGTTTTAATTTTCTTGCTTGAAATTGTCTCCATCAGATTGACATTAATTATATTTGTTTTTCAATTATTGTTTTGTACATAAATCAGGCCATTACTTTTCTCATTTGAAATGTTTTGCATCTTTCATTTCAGGCCTTTTATAGCTTGCTATACGGTAAGGGTTTTGCTCATTGTTAAAGGCCGTATAGTGACCTATAGTTGCTAACTTTTACGTCATTTGTTCTCTGGTGGAGAGTTGTCACATAGGCAATCATACCACATCTTCTCATTTAAATATAGTTATCTGAATATTAGCAGACACAGAAAGAAACTGTCTCAATATTGAACTTGTATAACTGTTGACAATATGCTGATGTTAAATCTCTCAATAGAACGACGACGACAACAAACGCGGACTCTCAAGTCAAGTGCTATGTCTGCGTCTTAAGTTACAGGCTCAACAATAAAATGACCCTATTCATACTCAAAATAGTATAGCTCTCTTTTAAAATGTGAGTCAAGAACCTTCAAGAATTTTAAACCAAAAACCATGAAAGGGACTACAAGTATTAGAAAGGAATTAAAATTTGGCAGTCAAACACAAGGAATAATCTTCTGCACTTCTATTACAATACCACTGCTTTAAATGAAATAGGAGAAATAACTGGGCTCCTGTTCCATATATATTAATTCAATTTAAACTGGTTTTTTTCTGAACATAAAATCATATGAAACCCAGTGAATGATAAAATGTAGTTGATTTTTACTTGACAACTTATAATGTATTTTAAAAACTGATATGAATAAGATTGTAGACTTACCCAGTTTATAAATATTGCCTGTATAAATTTGACCACTTCTAATGTAACCTGTAAGCTGATAGGTATGAGGTTGTTATACAGAATTATGAAGGTTAAAAAGTTGTATCCAAAATTACTTGGTGGTAAAGCTGAAAAAGAGTAAAAGAATAAATTGATTATGAACTAATTTTTCAACACATCTATGGTTATCTCCCTTTAAAGCATATTTACAATCATATCAAGTTAAGTTATAATTAGACAAGAATGGACTGACTTTTACAAATACCAAGTTCATAAAGAGGTAGAAAAAATGCAATACCCTGCTCTTCTTTATACAACAATTATCATTAAACATATTCCAAGAGTCTATATAGTTGCTTTTTTCAAATTTGCTTGATTGAGAGGTGATCATAAATAATTAGCTTACAGAGTTATTTCCCTTCAACAATAAATACATACCATGATAAAACATGTACCAATCTTTGTGGAGATGCCAGTTTGTCCAGATCTGATTGGCTATAGTACTTATCATGGCTAACGCTATCAGGATGATAAATAGTATGATGATTTGAGTATTGGTGACACGTTCTACATTAGATCTTTTTAATGGTGCTGACGTAGAATTTAACATCAATTTACTTTCATGTCCTGTGTAGATTACTACTCCTGGAAAAGAATTTTAAGAGATAGACTTGAAGCTTGTATGGTCATTTGGTTTTATAGCATCTGTTCATTAATTCTTTTCAGACTTTTGCAAGAGCTATTTAAGATCTTTCATAGTTGAAATCTTTTGCTTTTGTTGCTTTTGTTGCTTTTCAATGTTTTATTTTATAATCTGTTTTCCTTTTTTTTCCAACTGTGGTTATATCCTTATCTTTATTTCCTTATGTTGGGATATTTTAAGTCAAAAACCATTCAAAAACAGCTACCGGTATTCTGTTTTGTTGCCATTAAATGCTTAAATTCATTTTCCAGTATGTTTTCATTTTGTTCCAAAAAAAATCTAGCATGGCAGTGGCAGATTTGTCAATGATTTTATCAATTGTTCAATGTCTATGTTTGTCAAAGTACCAATTAATGTAGCTTACCCTTGAACCAATGCTAATTCAACTGAGTATGGCAACAATGTAGAAGTCGTCAGCTTAATGTGTAAAAGGAATTTGCAATAAATCAGCCATATCTGTTTTGAGTTTTTATACTTACCAAATATCCATTTAGTGTTCCTCAACATAGCTCCTCTCAACAATAACTGGTCAGGTCCTACTGGTATTGCTCTGTAATTGGAAAATAACAGTAGTGCTAAAGAATAACACCAAAAGGCAGATGCAAAAAGAATACACCTGTTGTCGTGCTGAGCATACCTTCACTCATAATTCAAAGTAGCAGAAACTGGAAGTAGATGTCTGACAGATTGGAAAAGTGAAAGATATGTTACAACTCATTAATGTTGAGATGCTGGCCAAATATGAAGTCATTCTTTTTAGCAGTATTGAAGAAATGTGTGACAAATCGGCAAACAAAAGTAGTTATCTGACAGTGCTCATATGTAGCAACTCATCACTGTCACACTGCTGGCGAAATATGAAGTCATCTGTTCAGTAGTTTCTGAGAAAAGTGTGATGAAAATATATGTTGGACGAACAGACTGACAATGTAATTGAAATATAGCCCTAGAGTGGGTGTATAATAATGTTATTCTGTAAATAACAATAACAAACTGGGAACTGAGAACGTAAAATATGTAAAATGTCATTAACAGGTTTTAAAATCTATTTTATCATACAGTCCTTCACAGGAAAGTTTTCTATGATACTATTCATAATAACTTACAGTCTTCCAGAGGGTCTGATGTTTCCCACAAAATCATATAAATGTCTGTTAGGCAGCTCACATTCTACTGTTCCTGACAAATCCAGTAAGTCATCATGGGTCAGTAGTTTAGCTGTCTGTGGTAACCCCTAAAGAGAGAGAGTATCAAACAATGATAATTTCATCAGTTTAGTCAATGGTTATGATTGGTTGAGACAAAAAACATCATATATACTAAATATAAAAACATTTTTTGAATTTTTGAAACTGTATTACTCTTAGAGATATTTATTATTCTGCATGTAAAATCATTCATGAATCAGTTTAATATTTACATCCAACATCTTGTATAAATTCAATAAAATCAAAAAACAATGCCATCTACCATGTACTGATGCTTTTTATCTTATGTGTTAATATCACCATCTAAGAAAGTGTTTTTCACACATTAAGTGTTTACAAAATAGCATTACAATATAATTTGGATAGTTAATACATTATAAATATATATTTCAGAACAAATCTTTTATAACATTATACCTGTCTAAGTTTTAGATTGGTTTCTCCATCCAAATTAGCTGTCTCTATATAACACATAGCCTGAGGCTCACTGTTAAAATAGAAAAAAAATTGTAAATCTTTTAATATTTATACATTTACTCTTTATTACATCACAGTAATAATAGAATATCTAGAAATCAAAGGAATAAAACTGTTGAGAGAGTTGTATTTCACATTTTCTTTTACTAGATAAGAGATTTAACATGTATCAATAATAGCACATTGATTTAAATATTTTTTTTGTCCTCATTCATTTTCATGTTACTTATCTGCTAAAAATGTCAATATTTATACATTTTCCTATTAAAATCAAATTAGTATATGGCATTGTGTTTTTTTCTCTCTCAAAGTCTAACAATTGCTTGACTTATGTAACAGATAGTATCATTTCATATAAATAATGAGTTTGTATAAACCATTGCATAATAAAATACTTGTTTGGGCTCTGACAAGAGTTATGTCCACTTGCTTTTTTAAACAATATTGTTTTGTTCAGCATAACATTGATTTTTCTTTATTTTACAATAAATCTACCTTGATGAGAGTATTATAAGGTCAGCAGGGAAGAACTGACCACTGGTCACCTTAACAAGATCTCCAACTATTATCTGGGTCCATTTCAACAAAGTCCAACGTCCTTCCCTCAACACTGGAAATAATAGTTTAAAATATTTGATTTGATCAATAAAGTTTGGATATTTACATATAAATATAAAGAGATACGGTATGATTGCAAATGAGAAACTATCAAACAAAGACATAGTCAAGTTTTTCACTTCCTGAATCCATGTAATATCTGTCTGATGTTGATCAATGAATACCCTTTCTTTTTACTGGTTAGTCATAAAGTATTACATCACTCTTATCCTTTTTTTCAATTTATCAAAATTTAACTTTTGAAAAATAATAATTGCCTTGCAGTTCAAACAAAAATTTTCTGCATTTTTTTAACCATTTAGTTATAAAACATTACCGGTAAACAGTCAAATTTCCGTTTTTAAAACATTTTCTAATTTCAGGGACAGCTTAGACTTGGAAATCTTAGATCATGACATGGAATTACCATGAACAAGAATGCATGGCTTGCTTTGCTAAGCATACCACACCTGTTATTAAAGTCTTGGAAATCAGGAAGCAAGTGACTGACAGATCTTAAAAATACTCAAACATTACATCTCATCACTGTCAAGCTGCTGACCATATATGGTCAATATATTTCGTAGTTTACGTGAAAAATGTTTGGAAAAATATTTGTTGGACCACCAGACAGACTAGGGGATAGCAATATAGCCCCAACTTCTGGAATGGGTGTAATATTCACATCTAAACTAGAAGCTTATGTTTTACTTACCAAAGACTTCCCTGTTGTTTACAGCATCATCTTGTCTGTGTCTTTTCTAAAAAATAAAGGACAATCATTATTTTATCTTTTTTGCTTTTTCTACACATGGCGGAAAACTTTACAGTTACACAAATAACTATGTTAATTATTTATAGATTTGTTTTAAGTCAAAGATTTTAAGTAGCACCAGTAGTAGAAAATATGGAATATCTGTGTATAATACTTTAAATACAGCATACATTATCTGGCTTCTTGTAATTTCATTGGTTGAAAGCAAATATTCAACATGTTCCGGGCCTTTTATACTTACTATACAGTATGGATTTTGCTCATTGTTGAAGGCTATACAGTGATCTATAGTTGCTTAAATCCATGTCCTTTGGTCTCTGGTGGATAGTTGTCTCATATTTCCTTATTTAAAATGGAACCATATCATGCTTTTTGGGACATATACCACACATTCATAATACTTTACAACTGTGGCCTCATGCAGATGATTATTAACATATATGATAATGTAGTATGCATCAATGGAATCTAGGTTAAGTCAATGAAACAGAGCACAATTAATCTAAACAGATATACATATGCTCAAAAGAATAAATTCCAAACTTTGTACGACGTTACATTTTACAATAAAATCAATTAAGCAAAAGCTTACATCATGTCATAGGCACTTAAAAGTGGAAATTAGCTCTGAACCAATAAAGTAACTAGACAGATAGAGTAGTTATATTGTTTTTCAATATTTGACAATGACTTACATAATCTTCTATGATTTCTTTAATGGCTGATACTGTCAGTATGAACAGAAGTGGCAAGGCTGTGGTATATCTTCCTGTAGGTGATACTTGCGGTATTTGCTGCAATAAAGAAAGTTTACTTAAACCTTACTTCTTATATCACTGGTAATTGAAACATCAACAACATTTCTCAATAGTCGTATGATCACACAACATGTTGTAAAATCGTTTAAATGTTATTCAAAATGAGATGTTTTCAGTATTGATTGATTCGGTGCTTTGCTTTTGCGCCAAAATTATCTTTTATTTGTGCCACAAACCATATTTCATTTGTGCCAAAACAAAACATTTCAATTGCGCCAATAATACAGGTAAAAACAGGTAAATAGTATAAAAAATAGTTTTATTCAAAAGAGACTTTTAATAATTACTTTAAAGCACAGTTTTTGATTGCATTATAAAACATATTCCTCCGAAATCAGTCATCGTAACCATAATGGAAGCACTATACACTGATACGTTCTAAATAAGAGATTTTTCATAATTATATTAAAACACAGTTGTTATAAATTAACGTGATCATAAAACCGAAAAGAAAGCACTATTCACTGGAGTAAAACTTAAAGTTTGATCTGACACAAGACGTGTAAGCAACGGCTCGGATGTACTCATATACATTTGATAACCTATATGTGTGGTCATAAAAAGTTACAGACTTATTTCCTCTACATAAAAATAAGGAGATGTGATATGATTGCCAACGAGACAACTATCCACCAAAGTTCAAATGAAGTGGATGAAAGCAATTATAGGCAACAGTAAAAAATGAGCATGAACTTACTTATCCAGGGGGAATACTCTAAACAAAATCTTATTCAGAATGTAGCAAAGAATATTTCAAACTTTTCTGTTATATGCTACCTGTAAAATGGCGCAAATTCAGTTTTTAATTTTTGGCGCAAATGAAATGTAACCTTGTGGCGCAAATGCAATGCGCCCGATTGATTGATTGATTGGTGTTTAACGCCACTTTCAACACTATTGTGCTATTTCTTGGTGGTCAGTTTTTATTGGTGGAGGAAGCCAGAGTGCCCGGTAGGAAAACTGTCAATCCTTGTCAATTAAGATTGGAGTTGAGCGCACCTGCCACGTGCGGGATTCGAACTCACAACCTCAATGTTGACAGGCTAGTGATACAGAAGTTCAACTACTTAGACCACTGGGCCACTGAGGCCCTGATGTTTTCAGTAAAACGCATGTTTAAATGTTTGTATTAAACCAATAACAATAACTTCCATAAACTTATTAATCACTCAATAATCAAAGCTAAAAACTACACTGCTAATTCTATCCTGCATTGTCATCACTTAATAAGAATTTGTTTTTCCTTAATTTGAAAACATTATAAATCTCATATTAGTACAAACCTGTAGTAATGATATGAAAAGGAAGAAAACATTGGCATATCTTCTAAACTGCTCAAACAAAAACTTGGGTAGAAAAGATATCCAACTGTATTTTGCGGTGCTGAAAAAAACAAACAATGATGAGATTAGTTTTAGAAAACGTTTTCTGTATCACAAATTTTGAATCTCAAGTGTACCTGATGAACATGGGTTATCAAAACAAAAATCAGTATAATTCAATTATTAAACTCTTTTGTTTGTAAAAATTTAGGGGACACTTGTATCAAATTTTATAGCAAAATTGCAAATTTTTTTTTTCAAAATGTATATATGTGTATCTTTTTGAAGAGTATTTAGTCATGTTAGTAAGGTGGTTCAAATAAGAAGAATTTTTTCATTGAGATTTATTTTCTTGGTATAATAAGCAAAAATTCATGAAGGCAGCATTTAATAGAAACAACATAGTCTAAATCCTTCAAAAACAGTCTTTTGAATGACATTACAAGTGCACATCAAGAAATGAACAAAAGAGGAAGTTTTTCTCTTTTTGAAGAGGGGCGTAAAGGGGGGTCGGGGGGGGGGGGGGGGTGGTATCTGCATGGAAGAAAGCCAAATAAAATTGCCATTTCACGATGAACGAACAATTAAAAATTTCTTGCACGTTGATCTTTTTACCGATTTCACAAAACACGGTGAAAAACAAACCTTTTTCACGGCTGCAAGTAAAATAAAATTGGCAAAACATGTTGCACGAAAAGAATCCTTTACCACTCTCTTTGAATACCAGTAAATCTATTCATGATAGCGACAACAGTTATGATCATACATGTACATGTATATATGTTGTTCAGAGACGGATGGTGATTCAGAACTTGAGAATGGGTCATATTCCATATTTGTGCATGTCCCCTTCCTAATATATGAAACAATCCCTTTTCCCATTTTGATTATGTAATTACAAATCAGTACTTCCTCTCAAAAATGACTATCAACTTTACATCTGCAATTAGCTGACAGATTCATTAATAGTTAATGTCAGTGTATTTACAGAAGGACATAAAAATAAAATAACTAAACATAATCAATGGGAGAAAATTGACTTTAGGGCAGACCAGTTAAACTGATGATAGGCAATCTATATTCTATTCATTCCGTTCATTATTTTCATATTGCATATGACCTTTAAAATTTTCTACATGTAACAATTTTAATATCTAGGAATACATAAGGTCAAAAAGCAATAACATTACACCTTGATTCTTGACTTGAATCATAATCAAAGTGTGGAAGCTCTGAAAGGCAGTTTTAATCTAAAAAAAAAATGGAATCAATGTTTTTGTGAACTCACTTTTCAAATTCTTGTTACTAGTAACATTGTTTACATGTCTGTAGGTGTTTCCTGTATACAAAATACCTTTTTCATGTCAATGTGCAAACTCTACTAACTTCCTTTTATAAAGTTTGGTAGCAGCATTAAGTCTAGATTGAATGTTAGTCCTCAATTCTGACACAGGTAATTTTCAAACTTTTCCCAATTTAGATTTTGAAATGGACATGATATCATGTGATAAGCAGAAACTTTAGCAGTGCCTTTAACTAGACTTTAACTAGACTTTAACAAGATTGTTTTAAAAATGTTTAAAGAATAATATATTGTTTCTTTTGGTTAATTGATTAATTGATTGATTGATCGAGTGGTGTTTAACACCACCCTGTCAGCACTATTGGCTATTTTGTAGCAATCTATTTTTATTGCTGGAGGAAGCCAGAGTGTCCAGAGAGAACCACCAACCTTAAGCAGGAAATCTGACAATCCTAGTTAATTAAGATTGGAGTCTGATTACGGTTTTCCCATTTATATAAAAAATAATTGAGGTTGTTCTATAAACTGTGAGATGAGGTCAAAGTCAGGTGTTCTCAGTGCACAGGAATTCTGAAAACCAATATATACACTGTACTTGACTTTCTTTTCAAAGTAAGTGAGAAACAAGATCTTAGCAATCAAATGTTAGGCCCATCATTGAAGCAGGAAAATGAGATCATGGCTATTCAAACCAAGCCAAAGATATGAGATTCAGTGAAGTTAATGGATCATATATGGACAATAATGTGTATTATCTGTTTGCAAAGCATTTATAAAACCTACTTGACTTTATCATTACAGTAAAACTGACCTGACTTTATTATTACAGTCAAACCAAACAGACCTAATTATTACAGTAAAACCTATCTGAATTAATTATTACAGTCAAACCAAACAGACCTTATCATTACAGTTAAACCTATCTGAATTAATTATTACAGTCAAACCTACCTGACTTTATTATTGCAGTATTTGACTGGCTGTGGAGCGTTAATGTATATAACTCTTTGCTGTGTAGGTTCAACATCTTCTGTTGTCTCTGATCCTAAAACGTCTTGCATTGGATGGTAATCTGAAATACAGAAGGCATTTATATATTTCCCAAGTTTTATACTAAAGGATAGTTTATTTTTAGAATAGAGAATGGAAAAGGTGAATGTGTCTAAGAGACAACAACCGACCAAAGAGCAGTAAATAGCCCAAGGGCACTCAATGCAGCAAAAAAATCGTGCACCAAGAGGAGGGCTTCAGCTGGCCCCTAAACAATAAAGTATACTAGTTCATCGAAATGAACACCACACTCCGAAACATAGAACTGAACCAAAATAAAAAAAAACCCACAAGACTAAAAAAGCCTAGAGGTTCCTGACTTGGGACAGACATAATAAAATGCTTCGCTGGGGCGCAGCTTGATACGACGGCAGAGGTCATACCCTGAACAGTTGGGGCAAGTATGGACACAACATTCAAGCTTGATACAGCTCTGAATTTGGATTGTTATTAAATATTTGACACAGCATAGGTTTCTGACACAGAAAGAATGTGGTCTAAGAACTTGAATTTTTTTAATTTACCTATTATGGTCCAATGTCCAAAATCAAAATACATGGTTAGATTCAGCATATCAAAGAACCCCTTATATTCAATTTTTGTTAAATCAAACAAAGTTTAATTTTGGACCCCAACTTGGACAAACTTGATAACTGGGCCCATAATCAAAAATCTAAACACATGTTTAGATTCAGCATATCAAAGAACCCCAAGAATGCAATTTTTGTTAAAATCAAACTAAGTTTAATTTTGGACCCTTTGGACCTTAATGTAGACCAATTTAAAAAACGGGACTTAAAATTAAAAATCTAAATACACGGTTAGATTTGGAATATCAAAGAACCCCAATAATTCAATTTTTGATGAAATCAAACAAAGTTTAATTTTGGACCCTTTTGACCTCAATATGAACCAATTTGATAGTGGGGCCCACAAATAAAAAATCTAAATTCATGGTTAGATTCAGCATATCAAAGAACCCCATATATTCAATTTATGTTGAAATCAAAAAAAGTTTAATTTTGGACCCCAACTTGGACCAACTTGAAAACTGGGCCCATAATCAAAAATCTAAACACATGTTTAGATTCAGCATATCAAAGAACCCCAAGAATTCAATTTTTGTTAAAATCAAACTAAGTTTAATTTTGGACCCTTTGGACCTCAATGAAGACCAATTTAAAAAACGGGACCCAAATTAAAAATCTAAAAACACAGTTAGATTTGGCATATCAAAGAACCCCAATAATTCAATTTTGATGAAATCAAACGAAGTTTAATTTTGGACCCTTTTGACCTCAATATGAACCAATTTGATAGCGGGGCCTACAAATTAAAAATCTAAATACATGGTTAGATTCAGCATATCAAAGAACCTCATATATTCAATTTTTGTTGAAATCAAACAAAGTATAATTTGGACCCCAATTTGGACCAACTTGAAAACTGGGCCCATAATAAAAAATCTAAATACATGTTTAGATTCAGCATATCAAAGAACCCCATATATTCAATTTTTGTTGAAATCAAACAAAGTTTAAATACTGGACCCTATCTTGGACCAACTTGAAAACTGGGCCCATAATCAAAAATCTAAACACATGTTTAGATTCAGCATATCAAAGAACCCCAAGAATTCAATTTTTGTTAAAATCAAACTAAATTTAATTTTGGACCCTTTGGACCTTAATGTAGACCAATTTAAAAAACAGGACCCAAAATTAAAAATCTAAATACACGGTTAGATTTGGAATATTAAAGAACCCCAATAATTCAATTTTAGATGAAATCAAACAAAGTTTAATTTTGGACCCTTTTGACCTCAATATGAACCAATTTGATAACGGGGTCCACAAATAAAAAATCTAAATACATGGTTAGATTCAGCATATCAAAGAACCCCATATATTCAATTTTTGTTGAAATCAAACAAAGTTTAATTTTGGACCCCAATTTGGACCAACTTGAAAACTGGGCCAAAAATCAAAAATCTAAATACATGTTTAGATTCTGCATATCAAAGAACCTTATGTATTCAATTTTTGCTAAAATCAAACAAAGTTTAATTTTGGACCCTTTGGACCTTAATGTAGACCAATTTGAAAACTGGACCCAAAATTAAAAATCTAAATACACTGTTAGATTTGGCATAACAAATAAATAAATGTGATCAAAGATTTTACAAATCTAATGCGCCATACTGTGCAATTAAAGAATACTTCTTGAAATTTTTCAATATTTGAAATTTGAAAAAAAAATAACATTTGAAGAATAATTCTTTTTAATTTCTGAAATCTGAAATGAGAAAAAAATTGGCCCCCCACAATTTCTTTTTATCCCCCCCCCCTTTTTCCCCCAAAAAAATTCTTTCCCTCAAGATATGGTCATAATCTCAATTCAAATTTCCAATGGAGTTGGCAACCATAATTACCCATTTAAATTTACCATAGTGCTAACTTAATCTATTTTATAATAGAATTAATAAAAATATAGTGTCAAATCTTTCATATGGATTTTTTTGTAAAAAAAAAAGATGCAACATTTGCAGATATTTTTACTGGTCTTCCTTTATAAATATGCATTTCTTTAAACATAATTTAAAAGCAGTGTAAGGGAAGTAACCAAAACGTTGTATTTGGATTACCTCCCTTACACTGTTTTAGATTATCTTTATTGTTCATTAACCATTACTTTATACATAATTTAAAAGCAGTGTAAGGGAGATAATTTCAATGATGTATTTGATTTATCTCCCTTACACTGCTTTAAATTATGTTTTGTACTAAAGTATTTGTCCATTAACCAGGACAACCTTGTTTTTCCCCCTTTTTTGCCCCTAATTCCTAAACGGTTTGAGCCATAACCCCCCAAAGCAAATCCTAACCATCCCTTTGTGGTATGGAAACTTGTAGTATAATTTCAGAGAGATCCATACACCGTTCCACAGTTATTGTCTGGAAACTAGAAAATGCTCATTTTTGGCCCCTTTTTGGCCCCTAATTCCTTAACTGTTGGTACCATAACCCCCAAAATCAATCCCAACCTTCCTTTTGTGGTATTTAACCTTATGGTCAAATTTCAAAAAGATCCATTCACTTAAACTAAAGTTAGAGTGCGAAAACCAATGTGTCTTCGGACGACGACGCCGGATTTGTTTGCGGTCGTATAAAAATGGAACGGGGTTAAACATGTTTTGTGAGATCTAACCCTCCCATATATTTTGGATACCATTTTTTTTGGGGGGGGATGAGCAAACAGTTGCTGTTTTTCAAGAAACCATGATTGTACTTTTTTATCATTTGGTTGTTTTTTCTTCTTTTTTTTTGAGAAGATTTATCTATTCAATGGATGGATTATCTTCCAATACAATACATGTTCAGGATAAGATGTGTCTATTCAATGGATGGTTTATCTTCCAATACAATACATGTTCAGGATAAGATGTATCTATTCAATGGATGGATTATCTTCCAATACAATACATGTTCAGGATAAGATGTGTCTATTCAATGGATGGTTTATCTTCCAATACAATACATGTTCAGGTTAAGATGTATCTATTCAATGGATGGATTATCTTCCAATACAATACATGTTCAGGATAAGATGTGTCTATTCAATGGATAGTTTATCTTCCAATACAATACATGTTCAGGATAAGATGTATCTATTCAATGGATGGATTATGTAGTAGAGAATTGATACGAAGTAGTGGATTCGTAAACGATAATCAACGAGCGACTTTAGTCGCAAGTTGATTATTGTTTCCGAATCCACTGCTTCTTATCAATTCTCTAGCTTAACCCATTTCTAGTAAAACGACTGTCTGTTTTACGTTTTGACAATGAATCAACGATATTTCATAAAAATAGTTTCGTATTTTGACTTTTTTATTCTATAATAGCTGGAAATGATTATATCCACACGGTTCGCATCTATATTTAGACATTTGACAAGTTAACATAAGTTGAAGATAACTTAAATGGGGTGTTAGCTGCCCTTTTTAACACCAGATTTATATATACTATTTAGCAACATTATTTGGTATATTGAAGACTAAACACCGTTAAGCCATTATTAATCAAATAAGTATTATTAGCGTAGATGACATTAATCTGCCATTTCATAATGCTCAAATACATGTTGCTTTCCTATAGTATTAAGATTATGTGCATACGATTTGAATTGAACAATTATATTCAAATTTTGTTTAAACTGTTTCCGTTTCATTAAGTTAAGATTATTTTAACGTTATTACACTTGGCATAAAGCGTTAACCGGTCAATAAACTAGTTTTATCTGTGGTACGCATTCTGAATACCCATCATAATTGCTCTTGCTACGGATGTACAATGAATAATTATGTTGATTTCATAAACTTGCCATCAAGCTGTCCATAGCCGTGATCGTCTAGTCGTTAATTACGAATGTCATAACGGTGATATTAACAGTGCAAAGTTCGAACCTTGTACCCGGAATGAAATTTTTCATTGTAATTTTTTTCTGGACCAAAATATTGTTTTAATCCTAGAACATGTAGAAGTATTATATATTTCATATTCAAATGATGGCGATGATTTTGTTTCTGTTTTTACTGTCAAAGAAGTACTTTTAACCCATTTCTTTAAAAAACAAAATAACACTCAAAATAAAGCAAATTCAATAAACATGAACAAACCAAGATATATATATTTCATTAGATTACAAAGGCGATCAATGAGACAGAAATACAGTTAAATGACATGTATTGACAATTAAGCGCTTTAAGAGTACTATTCATATTACGATTGATGTCAGCCATCGTGGTCTAGTGGTATCATGCATAGACTGAAGACTCTATTGGTTATGAAGAAAATACGCGCGGGTTCGAATCCTACACATGTCATGTCGTTTTTGAGAGGATAAAAGATCGTAAGTTAACAGTTTAAAGTTATAATATAAGTTCTCTTAAGTTAATACTATGGTCAGTGGATTCTTCAAAAATAATCTACAGTAAGAACAATAGACTGACGTCAGAGAAAT